CGNGGCAGCNCAGCGGCCCNCCCGCCTGGCCTGCTTTGCCGCTCTCGAGCGGGTCGACGCCTCGACACTCCGCTTCCTTCTCTGCGGTGCAACTGCAAGCGCGCAGTCCTCGCCTTGCTTCGCTGCTTGCTCCTGCTTTGTTGCTTGCTTCTTGCGTGACCCGCCCTCATCTCTGGTGGCCGCAACTGCAACCTCGAGACTGCTCCTCCCCCTAGCTGTCGAGTGCACCGAGACTCTCTGATTTCTGTCACAGCAGGTCAGCAGGCAAGCAGGCAAGCAGGCAGTCAGTCAGGCGGGTGAGCATGGCGCTGCAAGCCTGGCCAGACATGGCAACGCAACCGGGCAGGCAGGCAGGCAGGGAGGACGTACGTGGCTTTCCCGAAAAGTGGGGGGCCGCCCACGGTTTCGAGGTGAAACCGCGCTCTGCGTTGGCGGGACGATGTACGAAAATTTCAGCAGGCCGGGGCAGGCAGCAGATCTCGCGCGAAGTCGGCGCCTCGACCTCAAAACCCCTTTCACGCTTGCACTGAGCCTGCCTGCGCCGCTCTGCCGCCGTCGCCGTCGCCGTCCCGCAAATAGACGTGTACGGCCATAGACGAGGGGTCCATCTCGGATCTACCGCCTAGCCAAACAGCGAGCGCAAACTCGACCTACCGGTACCTAGCCTGCTTGCACCTCGCCCTGTCGATCGACGTGTGCTGACCCCTACAGGCGCTGCCGTTCTTCGGAAGCTTTTCGGAGACATCGCGGAGGGAGCTCGATGGCTCCGCCCGTCGGCGAGGTCCCGGGCAAACTAACAACGACGCGTGCCAGGAGGTCGGTCTGCGGCCGCAAGCTGAGGCTAGGTGACTCGCCCAAGTCGGAGCGTTGCCGTCGCAGGCGTGGGCAGGTACGGCAGAGCGACAAGCTTGCAAGCACGCACGCACGCACGCAGCACAAAGCAGGGCAACGCGATGTCGAGCCTTGTTTGCGCCGGGTACAGGAGTACCGGTCGGGCGACCCTTGCTTGCTTGCTTGTCCATTGTCGGCACCGGCGTCCCTAGGCCAGGACGAGGAGCGTACCTAGCCGCGCGAGTTTGCCGGGACTGGCTGTCGCCCCCGCCTGCATCGTCGGGGCACGCTCGCCCACCCACCCACAAACGGGGAGCAGGATGCGGAGCGTTGCGGCTTCGCCACCCACCTCATTGTCCGTGGCCGTGCCTGCCGACTACCTACCACTCTGAGCCAGGCAGGGCGGAGGTGAGGCCGCGCGCACAGCTCTAATTATCGGCGCCCGGGCCGGACATCCTCCTTAGCCTATTCAAGGGGGATATTGGACGCACGGCGATGAGGTGGACCAGTCGAGTGGAAGACTCGCGCCCCCGCGGGCTGCGGCTCGTTCCGTTCCTCCTCAGCGCTCGACCATAGAGAACAGCCCTGCTCAACCTCTTGTCGCCGCAACGCGATGTGGCAATGGGCCCAACCTCGTCGTCGTAGACCAGTTCATGCCATGCCGATTCGTATCCATCGACGTCCATACCTACCGTACCTCTGGTTCGGACCTGGCCACGATCGGACGCCCGTCGAAGCCGACAATGGAACCACGCACGCACCTCGCAAGGAGAAATATGGCGCACATCCTCTCAAACGAGAGAACCACGACGACGTTCGTCGGAAGCCCTGCTTGCTTTGCTTCTGCGCTTGCCCGTGCGTGCTCCAGCTTCGATGCACCGTGTGCAGGCGACCGGGCACAGCACGTCTGCGGCGGCGACGACGACGTGGCGAGGTGTCGGTCGGCCGTTGCGCTGCGCAGTCCGACTTTGCCGATGGTCGGCCGGACGCCGTCGCATCGCATGGCCTGCCGGGCTGGAGGCCTGCGGCGAAAAGGCGGAAAGTTCCTGACGACGGCATGAATCCAACGACAAGAAGAAAGCTCAGCAGGTCAGGCAAGCACGCCGGCCTGCCGGACGACAACGCGCGGGCTTGCGTCCGCCGCCTTCGCTGCGCCCGTCGCTTCCTTTCGAGATTCCGTCCGCCACACTTCTCTTGGCATCCGGCGGTGATGATAGGTGTTGGTGCCGATGAGATCGCCGTCGTCGAAGACGCCAGCTAGTGGACGTCGGTCGGTCCTGATTGGACGATTGCTCGACGCCTCCGCCCCCCCACGCAGCCGCCACGCGACAAGACGAACAAAGGCCAGGAGGCCAGGCCAGGCCAGGCGCGAATTTCCAATTGCGCCGCCACCGACGTCCGGTCCGCCGGCGCCGGCATTCTTTGTCCTCCCACGAGCCGCCGCAAGAGACACCCTCAAGCGTAGGATCTCGTCCAGCTCGTAACCGACTCGATTTCGACCTGTCGCAACGGTGACGAGAAGAGCAGGTAGAGCAGCTTCGTCACAGCCTCTCGTGGCTCACAGCGGGCCCGAACGTGAGAGAGCTGTTTGGCTGTACCGTGACGCCTTTCGGTGCGGCAGTCGATCGAGCAGACCGACCGTACCTGGAGCATCCTGCGCCATCGCCAGTCTGGATGTCTTGGGCTCGGCTGAACTTCCTTCGCCACCGCCGCATCTCGACGGGATCGACCAGCCACCTACCAGGCTGTCTGTCTTGGCGGCCGTTGTGCGGCCGGAGACACGGCCTCGTCGGCACCGGTAAGCTTCATGCTGCCAGCCCCCGCAGCCGGTCCCACGGACTCCGACCACCTGTGCAGGCCAGGCTTCTGTAGGCCAGACGATCCGCTCGCTTCGCTCGTCCAACGATCCAAACGACAGGTGCAAGCAGTGCGAAGGGGGGCCGTTGGGACAGGTCGTGTGACTTGTGCCACACGATCAGGCTACATTGTCATGGCCCCGCGATGCATGGTTGGCACCCCCCCTCTCGCGCCGACGCGATCATTGGTTCGGGCTGTTCGGCGAGGACAGAGGCCGCAGTATGGCAGGCGCCGCCCGAGGTTTGCAACAAGGTCAGCATGGATCGTGGGAAATCGGCGAGCGTTGACGCTCGTGAAATCTCCTGTGGAAGGCGTGCCCGCCATGCCGCCGACGACACCTCTTCGCCGAGCAGAGACGGTCGCAAGGGGCATCGCGGACACATGTCGAGCCGCCGTGGAAAGTCGACGAGTGTCAGTACTCACCAGTCAGACGACCAGTGCCCCGCCTGGCCGCATTTGAAGCATTCGCCGCTCCGAGACCCTCCTCCGCCGCCGCCACTGCGACCGCCTCTCGACTTCCCGCCGCGTCCGCGTCCGCGCCCGCTGCTGCCAGAGGACCGATTGCCCGAGTTCGGGTTGGGACAGTCGCTCGCCCAATGCCCTTCTTTGCCGCACTGGAAGCAGGATCCTGCCCCGCCCGCTGGTGCACCGCCAGAGCGCGCGGCCGTCGGGCCGGACTCTTCGTCCACCCACTCAAAGAAACGGCACCTGGTTTGGGTGATGGATGCGCCCATGTCAGCTGGAACGTCCGATGGCCCATGTCTGCCCGCTCGTCCGCTCGCTCGTCGAGCTGGTCGCGAAAAGCGTCGCCCGTCTGCTCACCTCAAGCGGACCGCCTCCTTTGTGCAACTGTAGAACTTGCGCCCCTTGTTTGGGCCGTCCTTGTTGACCGTCTGCAGTTTGGCCTCGAGGTCGCACTCGCAGCGCGGAGCGCCCGACTCGCGCGCCCGGGATTCCGTCCGCGCATGCATTCTCGAGATCCAGCTGGTGCTCGTCTCCTCTGAAGCAGGCTAAACAGCAGGCGGGCGAGCGTGGCGTTCGTCAGCGCAAAGAGGGACATGAGTAGGACAAAACGGTCAGAGTCGATGATCCCGGGGCGGGGGAACCAAGGCGGCCAGAACGCACCTGTGCTCTCTTGGCTGGAGTCACCCTGCTGGGTCCCTCGCCGTTCCGGCCGCTCGACGGCCCGTCGCTCCACTCGAAAAAGTCGCACCTGCCCTCGTCCATGCGCTTCGGGCAGGACCTGAACTTGCGCCCAGTATTTGGGCCCTCCTTGACGACCGTGCGCTCGACGCTCGGCAGGCCACAGTCGCATGGCTGGTCCGAGGACGCGAGTCCAGACGGCGCACCGGTCCCACGGCCAACGTTGCTGGACAACGCCGCCCCTGCTCCGCGGCGTCGGACCGCAGGCACCATCGGGGCGTCATTATCGCCGTCGCTGGGGTCGTCGTCATCGTCGTCGTCATCGTCGTCGTCGTCGCGTGCTGTTCAGATGCATGGAAGGGAGATGGCGGCGAGGTGAATTCTCATGTCAGCGAGATCTGGGAGCGTCGGCAAAGCCGTTGGCCCGGTCTAGCAGCTCACCTCTGGTAGCGCTGCTCGCAGGTGCTGCGCGAGGGCGTCGTGCTGCCGCTTTCCCCCGGCCCCTCGTCGCCGTGCCCCGTGTGGACGAGCCTCGTGCGGCCCCCCGAGTCGCAGTGCTGGCGCCTCTGCGAGCGCCGCCGCGACCAGGAGCCGGCCGAGGGTCCGGATCCGGCCCCCTGAAGTCCTCGTCGTTGAAGTCGTCATCGCCATCGTCCCCGCCGTCGCCGTCGTCGAGCAGCTGCGCAGCCATTGCTTCCTGACCTGCGTTGGGGTCTCGCAGATACCTTGTGACGGCCTGTTGGGAGAGAGGGTGAAAAAGAGAAGCCGCTCAGCACCGATCGCTGAGCAACGACGGCGGTGTGCGCTGCGGCAGCCCTCACCTCGACGATCGTGTTAAAGTCCCGCTTTGCCATGGCGTAGACTGCTCGATACTCCTCGATGCTTTCGTTGATAGTCTCCTGCTTAGTCCTCTGGCCGGCGCAGATGAGCGACATGCGGTACTCAGTCTAACAGCGGGAGAGAGGATATATTCGCCCGTCTTAGCATGTCGTGATCGAGGGTGGCACGGGCGCGTCGAGGATTGCCGCAACTGCTCACCTCGCGGCGCAGCAGAGGCTTGCTCAGGCTCTTTTCAAAGTTGATCCGGTTGTAGCCCTCGACCAGGCCGATGCCGAGCGTCGAGGGGACGAGGTACGTGCTGCGTCCCTCCTGCACCTTCATGACGTAGTTGCGATCGATGACCTTGGCGATGTGCTCGGCGATGGTGGCGTCGGTGCCTGGCAGATCCGCAGCGTTCCGGAGTCGGCGCGCCCGCAGTCAGCACGCGACAGAAGCGCGCAGATGGTCTGGCTCCGTCTGGTGCTCACCTATCCCGTTCTTGTCCATGAGGTTGACCAGGTCGGCCTCCGTCAGCAGCTTGGGACGGCTCGTCGCGCCTTCCTTGAGTTCGCACGAGGTCGGGAGAAACTGTTCGCCCTCGAAAAACTCGGGCAAGATGGTTCCTTCCCATCGCTCGTACGTGCACACCTCGAGAAAGTTTCTCTGCTGGACGATGAGGCCTGCATGTGCGGGGGACGAGGCAGAAGAGCCACCAGCGGGTGAGAGGTTGTCGGTACGCTGAAGGCTTCCAACCCTACGCAGGCTCACCAGAGGCTCGGAAGATCTCCTGAGCGATGTCGATCTCGACCGTCGTCTGTCGCCCGAGGGCGTCCTTCCAGCAGCTTCCGAGGAAGCGTCTCGTCACGTAGTCGTAGACGCGCTTCTCGTCGCCGTTGAGGCCGTTGGCGTGCGCCGTCGGATGGATAGGGGGGTGCGCCTTGTCGTTCTTTTTGCCGTTGCGCGGGCGCTCGAACTCGCCGTCGACCAGACGCTGTGCGATGGCGCCCCACTGCGTGTCGTTCGTCTGCTTGGCGATCAGGGTCTGAAAGTCGAAGTCCTTGTCGTACTGGTCCGTCTCTGTTCGAGGGTACGACAGGAAGCCCTTTTGGTAGAGCGACTCGGCCGCCTGGAGGAGACAGCAGCACGCGAAGGCCAACACGAGTCGAGCGGCGCTGCACGTGTCAGGACCTCGTGCATCCGTCTCGTGCCGCAGCATCTCGGACTCACGTCGAGGATCTTCTTCGGAGCGAGGCGCAGCAGCCTCGATCCGGACTTTTGCAGCTCGACTGTGGTCAGCGGATACGGCTTCCACTTCTTGGTCTGCTTGCTGTTCACTTTCCTGACCGTCGCAAGCGGCTCCTCGATGCAGCCTTCGAGGAGGATCTCGGCAGTGGTACGATCGAAGACGTGGCCGCGGTCCCAGAGGAAGGACACGACCTTGATGTCGGCCGGATCGTCATCGGGAGTAGGGTCGGCGCCCGCCAGGGTCCGTTGCTTTGTGACTGCGATATGCCAGAACGGCTCGGGCACAAAGTTGATGACCTTCTCGTAGCGATCGACGACGAAGCCGAGCGTCGGGAACTGGCATGGGCCTGCGGGACGCGGAGGAGGGGCGAGCAGTCCAGTAGAGTGCGCTTCAGCAACGGGACGCTGGCCACTCTAGCCAGCAGCTGCTGCACACATAGGCTCACCATAGCTGACCAGCTGCTTGGCGGCGTCAAGCTCGGGCACGCGAGACCGGAGGCTCATCGTCTGCATCCGGGTGAATGCTGCGCCGATGCGAAGGTCGAGATGGATGCGCGCCTCGACGGCGTCGGCCGACAGCCAATCGAGCTCGACCGTATTCTGCGCTGCTCTGTGGATCTGACTGGAAGCCGGCAGGGCGAGAGTGGTGCGGTCCAGGCGGGTCAGTGGCTCGCTCGCTCGACCCGGAGCTGAGGGTTACGCGTGCTGAACCCTCGTCGGAGGTCACTTACTTTGCGATGATGGCGCTGAACCGCGCACGAAGTACCCGTATGTTACGGTTGACCCTCCTGCACTCTGCGACAATCTCTGCGCCGATGTGCTCGCCTTCGCGATCGCAGTCGGTCCAGATCATGACGGCAGCAGCGCCCCGCGCCTCGGTGCGGAGGTTGAGCCCGATAGCGGCTCCGTCCTTGCTGACCCGCGTCTCGATCGGCGCATCGAAGAGCGTGGCGGGATCGCACGAGTACCACTTGCGGTGGTCCTCGCCAAAGTCGATCTCGGTCAGGTGGCCTCTGACCGAGGTCATGGTCATGTCGACGGTGCCGCCAAAGTCGGGCAGCCGGTATTGGAAGTCATAGTTGCGGCAGTACTTGTCTCTCCCTGGCCTCTGCGCGGGCATCGAGAGTCGTCGTCGTGGGCAAGGGGCCGATCGGAGCGTCAGCGACGAGCAGCTGCAGAGGCCCGGCCGGCGAGCTGCGCACTCACATTCGTGGAGCTGTTGGACGAGAGGATCGAGGTGATGGATTTGGCAATCGATGCTGTGGCATGGGCATGGAGGGGGATGGAGGCCACGACAGGCGCGTTAGCAGACGTTGACCTTAACCGAGAGGGCGCTTCAGGTGCCAGCTCTGTCCTTGAAAGCCCGGCGCCGGCTCACGTTTCTCGGCCACGCAGAGGATCTTCATGCTCGTGCCCTGTCCTTCGCTGCTCTCCGTGCGGGTACGCGCTGCCGATTGGCAGAAGCCGCGTATGCTATCACACGGAGAGCCTCGGCGAGTTTCAAGTGGGGAGCTTGGCCTTGCGGGAGGCGAGAAGGAGTGCCAGCCTGCGGCCCTCGCAGCGATCGATGTTTGCTGTTGCCCGGGGGAAGCCAGGTGCGGGCGGAAGTCGATGGGATGCTGCCAGGGTGCGCGGCGTGAGCTAATCTGCACAGCCAGTCGAACGCCGCCCGTGGCGGGAATCGTGAGCTTGCAAAGTGGCGGAGGCCAGTCGCCCGCCGAGGATTCTCAGACTCTGAGGAGAGGAAGAAGGCGCGAGTCGACACCGCTCCAGATCGGTATCAGCCACGCCGGAGCCGTGCGGTCGAGACGAGGTGGAAGCAGAGGTGTGAGGTAGCGGCGTCGACGGCGCTGGCGATGAGGATGGCGGTTGAGGGTCAGAGGTGGGAGCCGCGGCGGTCTTGGTAGTCAGGTGGCAAAGCTGAGCGGCACGACCAGCCGCGTGAGGCCCGGCCGTCGGAGCGCTGTTGCGCTGCTTGACGAGCTGCGCTTTGCCGCCGCCGCCGCCTGCGCCTGCGCCTGCGCCCGCGCCCCCTGGCCTCCACTTTCTTCGTTTTCTCAACCACGCCCGGCCGGCCTTCCTGCCCGCACGCTGGCGCGTTCCCGACGCGTAAATTCAAAAGAGAGCAGGCCTGGCCGCTCGCAGCCATTTCCCGCAACCTTGCCTGCTCGGAGCGTGCCGCCGACTCCCCGACCGCAGGCAGTCGTCGGAACGCTCCCGCAGACAACCGGACAAAACACTTTCGGCTCGACAGCCGGTGCAGCAGAGAAGCGTCCTTGGAAGATGACGGGGCCCCTCTAATCATACAAGGGTATGCAAAGCGAAAGCGAGCTAGCGACGTCTGTCTAGATAGAAGCTAGAACTCCGAGATGGGAGCAGGCGACAGGGTAGCAGGCCCCGTCGTCCGATACTCGATAAGCAGTCAGATGGACCGATGGGGCCGGCACGAGCGATGCGCCGGCTCAGGAGCAACCTCCCGAGCACCCGCCCCGGCAGCCAAAGCAGGTGAGGGGCTCGGCGCCGTTCTGCTTGAGCAGCAGGCTGACGATGCTGGCCGCCCCTTCGCCCAGCACAAATCCGCTGGCGACGATGATGATGAGGATGCCCGCCAGGGGCGACGATCCGTTGGGGCCCGTCGGCCGCCCGGCCATCTTTTTGGCGTAGACGTGAGCGGCGATGCCGCCGACGAGGCGCGCCAGCGAAAAGTTGGGCGTATTGAGCATGCCGACGGCAAACGCGATGCCGCTCGGGATCAGCTTGGCCAGCCTCGACGACGGCGGGCTGTGCAGGCCCTTGCGCTCGTCCTGCAGGGCGCGGGTGCGCAGCAGCGTCTTGAAAAGGCCCGTGACGGCAAAGATGGCGCCAAACACGATCATGAACGTGTCGGCCCGCTGCGGCAGGTGGCCGTTGTTGACGAGTCGGGCCAGGTTGAGCCACACGGCGGCGGTCGGCGCGGGGAACTGCGGGCCCGGGATCACATAGGTGGCCGTGTAGAGCTTGTAGGCGAAGCAGGAGATGAAGATGCCCAGCGTGCTGCCGATCAGCTGCCCCTTGAACTGCGCGCGCGGAGAGGCGCCCACCAGGTGGCCGGTCTTGTAGTCCTGCATCAGGTCGCCCGCCTGCATCGCGCCGGCCTCGGAGATGCCTCCAGCAACCAGGTTGGCCACCACGTTGCCCGGCTGCACCAACGCAAAGATGAGCTGGCTGATCTTGCCGATGCCGCTCACCGGGTTGAGGTCGGTCTCGCCCAGCGCCCGTACGCCGAGGATGGCAAAGATCGAGGCGAGGACGATGCCGATGCACGTCGCCCACGGCGAGATGCCCTCGGATCCAAACGCGAGCCAGATGAGCCACACGGCGAGCGCCGTCGAGCCCACCAGGCCCCATACGACCCAAGATGCCGGCGTCAGACGGTCGGCGGGCTCGTGCTCGACGTCGTGACCGTCCGCGCGACGATCTCGTCCGCCGTCGTCGCCGCCGCTGTGGTCGCCGCCGTCGTTGGCATCGAGCCGGCTGTAGGACGCCGAGCCGCGGTCCCGCTTCGACTTCCACCGCTTGAGGTCGCTCAAGCCGTTGGCGCCGACGAGCGCGATCAGGCCGACGATGCTCTCGCTGCACATGATGGCGAGCGAGACCCAGAGGATCCAGCCCTTGGAGCCGTCCTCGCTGTCGAGCGGGTGGCCTGGCGCCCAGCCGTAGTGGTGCGCGAGCGGGCTGAGGACGGCCCATCCGACCACGGCGCCCGCCGTCATGCTGACGGTGGTCGGCAGGCCCATGATGATGCCCTGACCGATGTAGTTGAGCGAGGGCGTGAACCACCATCCCCACGTCGCCGCCAGATCGTGGCTGGGCGACAAAGGGTCGAACAGCGGCATCGCGTACAGGACCGGGACAAAGTACGAGACGATCTGGAGGTCGAGGGCGGGGAGAACAGAGATCGCTAGGCGTCAGCATCTCGCGCTTCGCGGGGAGCTCAAAGGTTTCCGGGCGCGCCCATCTCACCGTGAACGTGGCCGAGCCGGAAAAGGACCACATCAGCGCCTTCCAGCCCTCGTTGCCGCGCAGCACCTGGTCCTGCTCCGAGGTCGATGCGGCGCCGTCATCGGCCTCGTCGCCGCTGAGCAGCCTCGTGTTTTCGTCGCTCGTGCGAGCCCTCTCGGTGTCCCTCCTGCGCAGGCCGTTGGTCGATGGCGTGGCCGTCTTGAGCCGATCCGCAGCAAGCGGCACCTTGTGGAGCACTGAGATGAGCTGGGCCGTGGCTGTGCCGCTTGGGAAGGCCAGCTTCTCGCGGATGATCATAGGCTCCCGCAGCGGGCTGGCAAAGAAGACGCCAAAGTAGGCGAGTGCAAAGCACCAGCCCAGCAACGGCCACCATCCGAGGATGATGGGCGGCGAGCCGTCCTTTTCTGGCGTGAGCTTGGTCAGCGCTGGAATCACGCCGACCAGGCCGGCGCTGAGCGGCATGATGCCGACGGCGGCGGCGGTGGTCTGCACCAGCACGTTTTCCGCAGGCGTGAAGGGCGTCGTCATGAGGTAGAAGCGCTTGCCCGCCAGCGAGAGCTGCTTGGGCAGCACCTTGAAGATGGCGAAACCCAGCAGCGCCGACTGGAGGCTCATCAGCGATACCCAGCCAGACTGCAGACCCAGGTAGAGGTTGGTGAAAGCCAGCAGGCAGCCAATGGCGAGGCCGGCCAGGACGGCCCGCCAGGTAAAGTCGTAGCCGCCCTCGTCGGCACGGATCGGCCCGTTGCCTGGACGGTCATCGGCTTGGCCGTCGAAGCCGCCATCCGAAAACGGGTTGGACCGCCACGGGTCGGGCCCGTTCCGATGCGACTGGGGCGGCGAGTGCATCTCGATGGCGACAGTGTCTTGGCGGCTCTGGGTCGGGAGGCGGAGTCGGCTGGTGGAAGCGGTGGGCAGCGCCATGCAGCGAAGTTCGTCTCTCCTCGCCCCGCACTTGTTGCTCGAATTCTATGGGTGATGAGTCTATCCAGAGCCGCGGCAGGTCAAAGGGTTCTATGTCGAGGCGTGAGATGGATTCCGCTGCATGGTCGTGCCGTCGTGGAAGGAAACGATTCGAGGGACGGGGTGCGAGGTGGTGGTGGTGGTGCCAAGAAGTGACCGGCTCAGCGCTCGCCAGGTCGTCGGAAGGCGGGCCGCCGGACGGAGAGGCCGAACAGCGGGGCAGGCTGCCTGGCCTCGCAGGCCTGCCCGGCTGGCTGGACGTGGGGGGCCAGGGCACGGGGGGCGGCGACCTGGCTGGGCCGAGCAAGTGCCGTTGTGGAGGTTTCCGCGGCCGGCCAGCAGGCGGGCAGGGCCCGATCACACGGCCGCGTAAAAGGCGGGCGGCTGGGCGGGCGGCGCACGCACCTTGGCAGTCGCTTTGGCGGCGGCGGCGGCGGATTGCCTCCCTCCTTCGGCCCTTCCGACATCCATCATCATCATCATCATCTCGTCCACGCCCTCCTCCCCCACCAGCGCTCTTTTGGCAAGAAGGACAGCACACGCTCCAGAAAACCGAAGCGAACGACGGACACTCGCACTCAAACGCACTTTGGACGCCGCGCGACCCGACCAGCCCGACCTGCGCTTTCGGCCGACATGACTTCTCCCCAGACGGTGGCCGATGCCAACGCCGCCATCCAGGCCGGCAACAATGCCGAGGGCGAGCGCATCCTCAAGGTCATCCTGGCCGACCAGTCCAAGCCCAACGACGAGGCGCAGCTCAAGGAGCAGGAGTCGGCGCTGACGCGGCTCGGCGAGCTCTACCGCGACACGCACAACGCCGAGGCGCTCGCAGAGGCGGTCCGCTCCTCGAGGACGTTCATGTCGGCCATCGCCAAGGCAAAGACGGCCAAGCTGGTGCGCACGCTCATCGACCTCTTCTCGGGCATACCCGGCAGCCAGCAGATCCAGATCCAGGTGACCAAGGAAAACGCCGAGTGGGCCAAGAACGAGAAGCGCATCTTTCTCAAGCAGAACCTCGAGACCAAGCTCATCGCCCTCTACTTTGAGGCTAAGTCGTACCGCGAGGCGCTCCCGCTCATCGAGTCGCTGCTCAAGGAGCTCAAGAAGCTCGACGACAAGATGATCCTCACCGAGGTCCACCTGCTCGAGTCCAAGGTCAACCACGCCACGAAAAACTTCCCAAAGGCCAAGGCGGCCCTCACGTCGGCGAGGACCGCCGCCAACTCTATCTACTGCCCGCCCACGCTCCAGGCCCAGCTCGACCTGCAGGCAGGCGTGCTCCACGCCGAGGACAAGGACTACGCCACCGCCTACTCATACTTTTTCGAGACGCTCGAGGGCTTCGCGCTGCAGGAGGACGCACGGGCACCGCTGGCGCTCAAGTACATGCTGCTTTGCAAAATCATGCTCAACCTCAGCGACGACGTCAACGCCATCATCGGCGGCAAGTACGCCACCAAGTACGCCGGGCGCGACGTCGAGGCCATGAAGGCCGTCGCCAAGGCGCACGAGGATCGCAGCCTCGAGGCGTTCGAGAGCGCGCTCAAGACCTACAAGGACGGTGAGCAGCCGCGCAGGCGGCAGGCACAGCCGGTGCCCCCCAGTGGCGGCGGCGGTGGCGTTGGGAGGCGATGCTGACTTTAGTACTCCTGCTTTCCCGCACTCCCCGGCCTCGACCACCGCAGAGCTCTCAAACGACCCCATCATCCGCAACCACCTCTCGGCGCTCTACGACACATTGCTCGAGCAGAATCTGCTGCGGATCATTGAGCCATATAGCCGCGTCGAGATCGCCCACGTGGCAAAGGAGGTCAAGCAGCCGGTGCGCGAGGTCGAGCTAAAGTAGGTAGCGCAGCTCGCCCCACCCTTCGCCCTGGAGAGCAAGGATCTGGAAGCAGTCTGACCCGCGCGTTCCTTCCTTGCCTCGTCTCTCTCTCCCTGCCCCTCTCCTCCCGCTCCCAGGCTCAGCCAGATGATTCTCGACAAGGTCTTCCACGGTATCCTCGACCAAGGGGCGGGGTGCCTGGTCGTCTACGACGAGCCCCAAGAAGACGTGAGTCGTCCCGCTCGCCCCGGCCGTCCCCTGTGCGCGCCCGATCGCGATGTCCCGTCCTTGTCCGTGTGCTGACGCTCGACCACGTCCCCTGCTCTCGCACGCACGCAGAAAACGTACGAGGTGACGCTAGAAACCCTAAAGCACGTCGGCAACGTCATCGACAGCCTGTACAAGAAGGTGCGTCGTCGCAGCGCCGCGCTCTGCCCTAGCTCGTCCCCTCACAAGGGCCATCACTGACCGACGCTTCCTATACCTCTTCCTTTCCTCCTCTGCTGCACTCCCCACTCGCCTCGTCGGGCTTCACAGGCCAACAAGCTTTCCTAGCTTCCTGTCGTCGGCTGCATCGCTCGGCAGCGTGGTCACATGGTAATGCCGATTCCTCATTCTCGTCGTCAATCCTCATGCTCGTCCGTTGCCGGCGAAGCGACGCCTCCTCACTTTGTGGATGAGACGTCGACGTGAGGCTTTTGGGTACGGATGTATCCGCGGTTGAGGCTGTGTTTTCCCGCCTGGCTCGGGTGGGCCTTGGCGATGACGCGCTCGAGTGCGTCGAGGCCGCGGTCGATCTGGTCAAGAGGCGGGCCGTACGAGATGCGGATGTACTGCTCGCAGGGCGACGAGATGACGTTGCGCCGGTGTGCCGGGCTGTCCAGACCGGGAGGGGAGGGCAGATGAAGGGAGGTCAGGATCGATAGCGGCGAGTGATTATAGCCGCCGAGCTCATGCGACACAGAGTGCGACTCACTTGATGTCAAACGAGATGCCGGGCACGACAATCGTCTTTTCGCGCAGCAGCTCCTCAAACATGACGAGGCCAGAGTTGAGCGGGAACGGCAGACTGGCCAGCGAGAGCCAGATGTAGAAGGTCGCTGGCGTTGCAGGGCGGCAGGGGCGGGAAAGCACACACACGAAGGGTCTCAGTCTCTCGAGGCCACCCTGGCACGGCGCGGGACGGGCGCGCATCTGGACTCACCCTGCGGCTCCGTCTTGACCGCCAGCCCCATCTTGGCGAGCCGGTCGAGGACGTGCCTTCGCTTGGCCCTGAAGTGCTTCTGGAGCGCCATGCGGTCCTGGTTGCACCGGTCGATGTCGAGCATCTGGAGCGCCAGGCACTGCATCGGGTGCGAGGAGCCACCGCTGTGCAGCAGCAGCAGCAGCAGCAGCAGCAGCAGCAGCAGCAGACGAGGACAGACGAGCACGAGGTCGGCATCAGAGTGCGGCGTGAGGGACAAGGCCGCGCGGGAGCTCTGTGCGACTCACTCGAGGTAGCTGCCGGACTCGTTGAGTGCGGTGATGACGTCTTCGCTGCCGACGACCCAGCACACGCGCCAGCCGGGCAGGCGCCAGCCCTTTGTGAGGCCGTCGATGAGGACGACGGGCGTGTCGTTGATATCGTCGATGTACTCGGCGGCCGAGTTGGCGCGGCCGAGGGGCCCCTCGTGGAGATACCAGCTGTAGAACTCGTCGAGCAAGATGGTGCAGCCGAGCTCCTTTGACATGTCGACGACGCGCTTGAGCTCGTCGCCCTCGAGCATCATGCCGGTCGGGTTGCGCGGGTTGCTGAGGAGCATCGACGACAGGCCGCGCCCCTTGATCTCCCTGGCCATGTCGTCGACGCTCAGCTTGAAGCCCTGCTCCTCTGCCGACAGCACCGTCGGGATGGGCGTCAGACCCTTGGTAGAGCCCAACAGCGGCTCGTAGCTCGTGTAGTCGGGCAGCTGGTAGCCAAGGTTGACGTTGCCAATGACGGCGGCGAGCCTGGCCATGCCCGCCCTTCCGCCGGGCACGATGCAGACGTTGGATGCGGTGAACTTCTTGTCGTGCTTCTGGCGGAACGTCTGGTTGTCTGCAGCGGCAGCGAGGTCGGCAGGCAGGGTCGGCAGGCGATCAGAGGTGGAAACGACCCCTGGGGACAGGGCTCATTCTGGTGCGGCCAACGTGCACCCACAGTAGTTTGCGACGGCCTTGCGGAGCTCGGGGATGCCCGTGTTTGGGGCGTACTCGTGGACCTGGTCGCCGAACTGCTCAAGGTCGAGGTGCTTGGGGCGTGGCACGGCTCCGGGTATGTCTCCAGTCTCTGGGGCGCCCTGGCCGAGGTTGGCCCACTCTGGGTGACCGTAGTGGAAACCGTTGGACATTGCGCGGTCGGTGACGTAGATGACGCCGGTGGAGCCGGGATGCTCGATGCCCGGGAGGTGGTCGTGGTCGGGTTCGTGATCGCCGTCGCCGTCGCCGCGGCGCTTTGCGGCATGGTGCCTGCGGGCGTGTCCCGGATGGGAGCGGAAGATCTGGTGGGCCTCGGACTCGCTCTCGTGCTGGATGGTCTGGATGACCTTGTCGGCGGCGCCGCGCAGCTTGTCGAGCGGCGAGGCGGAGCCGCTGTCGTTGTCGTGGTCGGTCATCGTGGGCCGAGGGAGGAGCGGAGGCGGTGCAGATGGCGCCGAGGATGCGAGGTGGGCCACGGTGTCGGCAGGGGTCCGGCGGCAGGGCTGGGCGGTGGCAGCTGTGGCGACGGTGGCGACGGTGGTGACGGTGGCGAGGGCGTCGATGATGGTGGCAGGGGGGCAGGCCGGAGGAGCCTAGCGGGCGGCGGGCCGAACCGACCTTGCTTTGATGCTCGACGGCCAGGCCGAGGCCAGGCAGGACGTCGTTGGTTGCCCGCCGGCTGGGCCCTGCCTGCTGCCTGATCTGGTCGAGCCCGGCGCAGCCGGTCGGTGGGCTCGGGATGGCCGCGTCTTGCCAGGGTCCACGAGGCCGGTTGGCCTGCCTGCCTGCCGCTGCCGGCGGCGATGCATGTGGAGGCTAGGCTGCGTCGTCGTCGGGCGCTGGCCCCTGCTGCCTCTGTGTGCTCTCATGCAGGGATGCGAGGCCCGGCGGGCAGCCACCCATCGCGTGATGGCCTGGCCTGGCCTGCCTCGCTCGCCCGTTGTGACTTTTCCGAGTGGGGCCTGCCTGCCTCCGCGTAATCACGTTGGCTGGCCAGCCCCCCACCCGCGAACTTTTCCCTGGCTGGCTGGCTTGGCTGGCTGGCTGGCGTACCACCTGCTCGCGCTCTTCTCCCTCGCTCCCTCTCTCTCGACTCCACGGACTCCATATCGACCCTCTCCCAGCCTCTCTCTCGCCCCGGCCTCGATCTTTGACGACAGATGTCGCTCCCAGTTGCGGCAATGGCGGCGCAGCGTGGCCCAAGCTACGACGTGGCCCTCACCGCGCTCCGCATCCTGCAGCCTTCGCTCATCCTCGTCGTCCTGCTCGTCTCGCTCCTCAGCAGGCCCACGCGCAACTTCTTCAAGGGCCTCTACAGCTATAGCGACCATGACGCCGCCTACTCGAGCCTCGAGCAGGCCGACGAAACGCCGTCGTCGGCTGCCGAACCGCAGCCCACGCCCGTCGTCGTGCCCGTGCGCTCCCGCCGCCGCTTCCTCACCCAGGCAATGATCCTCGGCCTCGCCACCACCTACGCCGTATCCGGCGTCCTCATCATCCTCCGAGGTGTCATCCCGCCAAAGCAGTGGCAGCCCGACCTGCCCCTCTGGGGCGCCGTCGACATCCAGTCCCTCGGCGGCCTTCTCGGCTGGGGCCTTGTCGCCGTCGCCCTCCTGTGGGAGGAAAAGCAGCGCGGCAGGGGCACCTACGGCAGGGGCAAGGCCTTTTTCGCCTCGCTCGCCGGCGCCCTCGTCGACTGCGCCCTTGTCATCCTCTACGCCATCCCAAAGGAGAGGCGCGACCTGCCACACACCAGCGGCTGGACCATCGGCCAGCTGGCCCTCGTCATCCTCCGCCTCCTCCTCCTCTACCCCGTCCTCATCGTCGCCCTCTCGTGGGACCGCACCCGCTTCGTACGTGCGTCCGAGCTCGCGGGCTCATCGCAGCCGGGGAGCGCCTCGCAGGCCGCCGACGAGCGTAGCAGCCTCCTCCAGCCGCCGGCCTCGACGGCTGCAGCGGCGGCGACTTCGTACGGCGCAGCATCGAACGGTACGGCCAACCCCGCTGCCGCAACCCCTGCCGCCGCCGCCGCCAAGTCGGCCACCGCCTCTGGCAGCCAGACGCCCAACCGCGATCCCAACGCCTCGATGGGCCTGTCGGTGGCCGCGCAGCCGCCGCCGCCCACGATGGCCGTCTTTTTCCAGCGTATCCGCACCCTCTTCCCCTACCTCTGGCCGTCCAAGTCGTTCAAGCTGCAGTCCATCGCCGTCTTCTGCGTCGCGCTCCTCTTCTTTGGCCGCGTCGTCAACTTCTTCACCCCGCTCACGCTCGGCGAGGTCGTCGACGACCTCGGCCGCGGCGCTTCGCCCTGGTTCCACATTGTCGCCTACGCTGTGCTCAAGATGATGCAGGGCACCGGCGGCCTGATCAACACGCTGCAGAACATCCTCTGGGTCCCCGTCGAGCAGTACTCGGACCGCCAGATGAGCCTGATGGCGTTCAACCACCTTCTCAACCTCAGCATGGCCTTCCACACCCGCCGCAAGACGGGCGAGATCCTGCGCATCCTCGACCGCGGCGCCGCCGTCAACAACTTCTTCCAGTACCTCCTCTTTTCGCTGCTGCCCGTCTTCATCGACATCGCCGTCGCCATGATCTACATGACCCGCGTCTTCAGCTGGGGCACCGGCCTCGCCCTCTTTGTCGTCATGGTCGTCTACACCTGGGTCAGCGTGGCGCTGACCACCTGGCGCACCCAGCTGCGCCGCAACATGAACAACAAGGACTCGATCTGCCGGGCCATCAGCGCCGACGTCCTGATCAACTACGAGACGGTCAAGTGCTATAGCAACGAGTCGTACGAGGCCGAGCGCTTCCGCAGCGCCATGCAGGACTACCAGCGCCACGAGTTCCAGGTGATTGGCAGCCTCAACACGCTCAACCTGTGCCAGAACCTCATCCTCTCATTCGGCACCCTCTTCTCGGTCATGCTCGTCGCCCGCGACGTTGTCCGCGGCGCGGTGTCGACGGCCCAGTTTGTCGTGTTCGTCACCTACCTCCAGCAGGTCTACGGTCCACTCTCGATGCTCGGCACCCTCTACCGCGTCGTCTCCAACAACCTCGTCGACACCGATAAGCTGATGGCGCTGCTGCAGGAGCAGACCGAGATCAAGGATGCGCCCGACGCCAAGGACCTCGTCGTCACCGACGGCGTCATCGAGTTTGACAACGTGCGCTTCTCGTACGACGGCAAGGTCGAGGCGCTCAAGGGCCTCAGCTTCAAGATTGACCGCCGCTCGAGCGTCGCCCTGGTCGGCGAGTCGGGCGCCGGCAAGTCGTCGGTGCTCCGCCTTCTCTATCGCTTCTACGACATCGACTCGGGCCGAATCCTGATCGACGGCCAGGACATCCGCAAGGTGACGCAAAAGAGCCTGCGCAGGGCCATCGGCGTCGTGCCGCAGGAGCCGTCGCTGTTCAACACCGACATCCGCCACAACATTCTCTACGGCAACCCCAAGGCGTCGGACGAGGCCGTCGAGGCCGCCGCGCTTGCCGCCCAGATCCACGACCGCATCCTCTCGTTCCCGGACGGCTACAGCACCGTCGTGGGCGAGCGCGGCGTGAGGCTGAGCGGCGGCGAAAAGCAGCGCGTGGCCATCGCACGCACCATCCTCAAGAACCCGCCGATTCTGCTCCTCGACGAGGCCACCTCGGCGCTCGACAGCCAGACGGAGCGGCAGCTGCAGGGCGCACTCAACACCGTCATGGAGGGCCGCTCCAGCCTGTCGATCGCCCACCGCCTCGGCACCATCATCAACGTCGACACCATCATCGTCATGGACGCCGGCGTCGTCGTCGAGAGCGGCTCGCACGCCGAGCTGCTCGCCAAGGGAGGGCGCTACAGCAAGATGTGGGAGCAGCAGATCAAGACGCAAAAGGAGCAGGAGGCCGCTTCGGCGGCCATGGAGCAGGCCGAGGCCAAGAAGGACGGCTCCGACTCGGACGAGACGCCAGGGGGCGGAGGAGACCAGCCCGAGGCGCCCGCCGGCATGCTCGGAATCGTCCCGCCGAGCCAGACGGGCGAGGCGGAAAACCCGATCAGGGATGCGGCTGTCACCGCCGGCACGGCGGATGATGCCGAGACGGCGTCTCAGGCGCACGAGGGCGGCGATGCGGCCGCCGCTACGCAGGGCGAGGTCGCGGCCGCCGCCAGCCTGGCGCAGAAGACGGTTCCCGACGTGACGCCGGCACAGGAGGCCAATGAAGACGGCGCAGCGTCGGCTGCGGCCGATGCCGAGACCAAGCACGCGGCGTCCGCTCCGTCGCAGGCGCCCCAGACGCCTGCGCGGTCCTCATCCCGGCCGACGACCGATGCGAGCGGCGCCAACGGCCAGGCCGAAGAGGAGCAGCCGGCTGCTGCGTCGCCGTCTTCGAGTCCATCGAGCCCCAAGAAGCTGCGCCAGCGGGTGGCGAGTTTCCTGCGGAGGGACGGCAACGGCGCCGCCGCCGCCGAGGTCCAGAAGTCGATCGAGGGCACAATGGCGGCTCAGACGCAGCCGTCGGCACCCGATGCGGCCCGTCTGCAGGCATCGGCGGCGGACTTGGGCAGCGCCCAGACGTCGCCGAATCCGGACAGCGTCGGGTCCCAGTCGCCGATGCTGGGCGAGGACGGCGCCGAGACGGGACGCAGCCAGGCCGAGAAGAGGAGGCTGCAGAACCAGAAGAAGAACCGCAAGAAGAAGGAGCGCGAGAGGCGGCAGCGGGTGAGTGCGGCCGGGTCGCTGCGGCGCGAGTGACTGCAAGGACGACGACAGAGTGCTGACCGGAGCGACGATGCCTTGCCCATGTCTGGTTCCATCTCGACCCGCTCCTCGACGCCGCCTCGTGATCAGGAGGCCAGCAAGGCTGCGTCGTCGCAGGGCGAGGAGACCAAGTAGCGGCGGGCGGCAGCGCCATCGCCTTTGCCACCGGCCCGTCCGATACCCTGCTCCGCGGGCTTGGAGCCGGCAACGCACAGTCGTTTCTACCCCTCCCTACGATCGTTATCCGCGACAGCAAAGCACGTAGAGACGCTTCCCACAAACACCGGCTCTCGTCCTTTCGTCGCCATGCCATTCCATGCCATGCCTGTCTGCCATCATTACTCTGCATCGTCTGCTGCCCTGCTTGAGCTCAGGCGGCGCCGCTGCCCAGCGAGCATGGCCATCGAGGAACTGTGTGTGCGGGCCTTTGTACCAGCTGCGCCTTGGGTCGCGGGTCATTGCGGGCGCTGGAAGGGCGACGTGGACTGCGCGGCCTGGAGCGGCGTGATCGAGGCAGCTGGGCGCAGCCTGTGCGTGCGACGTGCAGCGCGTAGAGAGGCGGGTTGAGGTCGAGTGCGGCCTGGCCTGGCTGCGCCCCGCCTACGCCTGCAGCCCCACGCAAAGCCACTCAACGGCACTCTACCTCTCTCTCTTTCGCGCACGCACCCTGCCTTCGGAAGCTGGAATTTCATGCTGCCGCCTGCTGTGCTGCGTCGTGCTGGCCAGAGGCCCTCGGCCCAGCGTGCGAGGCGCTTTGGTGAGGCGCAGTCGGCCTCGGGCGTCTGGCGGGCTGGCGGGCTCGCCCTCCACCCTCAATCAGTCCTGTCCAGCCCCACCGCCTCGACCCACCACCACTACCGCCACCAACGCAATCGCCATCGCCACGCTCAATTCTCGAACCTCACCAGCAAAACGCAGCTCTCTCATTTTCAGCGCCGCTTCCGTCCACAGCCGCCTCCGCCTCGTCCAATAGCGGCATTCGATGCAAACATGTCTGGCATTCCGCAGGAGGAGCTCCCGATCCTCGAGGCCCTGATCAAGTGAGCGTCCTTGGCACCGTCGCACCTTCGCGCCGTCGCGCTGGCCCCGAGCCTACGCTGACTCTCTCCGCTTCCTTTTCTGTCGAACGCCCTCAGCATTCGGAATCGCCTCACCGCGCTCAAGAAGAACAGCTCCGAGTTTATCCGCTCCCACGATGTCCAGCAGCTCTACCAGCAGGCCATCAAGCAAGGTAAGCAAGCTCGCGACAGGGATCCGGCAGCGCCGCGTCATCCTGAGCAGTCCCGGCTCATTCGTTTCCTCTCCCTCGTCGCACATCCGTTCCGGTCTACTCCTCACTCCCCTGCAGTGACGAGGCTCAATGCGGTGCGCGATGAGCTCCAGGACTCGGCCCAGAGCTCGTCGGCGTCGGGCTCCGCTTCCACCTCGACCACGGCCAGCGAAGGCTCCGGTCAAGTGGCGTCGGAAGGTACCGGCGACGACTCACCCGTGACGCAGACCAACCGCGTCGACACCACGCTCAACGACGTCTTCGCGCTGCTCAGCCTCTTCTTCCTCACCATCGGCAGGAGCCGCGAGAGCCCGGCCACGTTTTCGCAGCTCAGCTGCATGAAGGTGAGTGCAGAGGCGCCGCCTTCGATTGTTGAAGCGACAGCTGACATGCGGCGTGTTCCGCCCTGCCCTGCCTGTTCCTCTGCTTCGTCTCGCCTCGCCTCGCCTCGCCTCGCCTCGCAGCAACTGCTCGACCACCTGTCCGAGTCTGGCATCTACACCGAGGCAGATCTGCAGCCGTTTGCGGCTCGCGTCGCCGAGATGCGCGAGATCATCCGCAAGGACGCCGACAGTGGCAAGCAGCCTCCGCAGCTCACCAAGCTGATGATGCGCAAGCTTGAGGGATGCGGTGAGTGCTTTGCGACGCGGACTCGGCGCAGCGGTGACCCTTGTGCGTAGCTGGTTTTCACACCACTTTCCTGCCCGCTCTGCCTGGCCGAGCTTTCCCTGCCTGCAGAAAAGGTGCTCAAGAAGCTCGAGGGCACGCTCAAAGTTCTCTCGGTCGAGCTCGTGCCGTACCACCAGAAGATCGTCTCGATCCGTCGGCAGCTGGCGGCGGCCGCGGCCAAGCCCAAGCCGGCCAGGGCGGAGATCAAGGCCCTGCAGGAGGAGCTGCGGAAGCTCGACTCGAAGCGCGTCGACGGCAAGTTCCTGGGCCCAGGAGGCTCGTCGGTGCCTGCGGGCCAGGCGATCCTTGTCGGCCTGCTCGAGGAGTGCTTCGAGATCTGCCATGACATCACCGTCCGCAACGACGAGGTGCCCATGACGCTGCAGCCCATCTACGACCGGCTCAACGAGATCAAGTCGAACCTCGAGCACCTCGTCCTCACGCACCGGTGGACGTTGCGCGAGACCGACCTCTGGAACTACCAAGTTACGCTCAAGGAGATTGACCGGATGCGTGTCAACGGCAAGTTTGTCGACAGCGAGGGCAAGCAGCCCGAAGGCCAGCTGGTGAGTGCCGCCCGCCGTCGGTGCAGAGGACGTGCCCATGTCGCTCGCTCTCGATGCTGACTGCCTCGTTCCCTCTATGCGCTGCTTTCTGCCTCGTCGCCGCAGGTGCTGCTCTACCTCCTGCGCAGGTGTTACGGCCTCATCTACATGCTCGTCGCCTCGTCGGAGCCCATCTCCGAGGAGCTGATGCCGATCAGCAACAAGCTCTCGACGGTCTCCAAGTGCCTCAAGGAGGTCAGCAAGTACGGCGGCCCGTTCACGATGCGCGACCTCTATCCCTACCGGCTGGCGCTGCACCAGATCGGCAACATGCGCAGCCCGGTCAAGGACAAGGACGGCAACGACACCGGAGTCAAAAAGTGGCTCGGCCGCGACGGCAGCGTGCCCGAGGGCCAGGCCATTCTGCGGGCGCAGTTTGAAGAGGTGGAGCAGAGGATCGAAGAGAGTGAGTAGCGCGATGCATTGCTCGCCGAGATCGCTCCGACCGCTGACGCACACTCCCGATCCCGCCTCCGCCTGCATCCACCCACCACACCCGGCCAGTGCTCAACCGCGAGGATGAGGATGACGACGATGACGACGACGGCGAGTGGGACGGATCGACGGCATCCACAGTCAGCCAGAGCGATACGGACAGCGAGGCGGGGGACAGCGACGGCAGCGCGGAGCCGCCATCGGCCGACATGGTGCGGAATGCGCTGCTCTCGGCCGGCGGGCCGATGCTGGGCGGCAGCAGCAACGTCTCGGACGCGGCGTTGTCTTCGGCAGCGGCTTCGGCGACGGGTCCGCTGGAGGGGCCGTCGACGACGGACGCGTCTGCGTCGAGCGGGCAGACGATCCGACCCCACGACGGCTTTGGCAGCGGGTCGCTCGAGGCGACACCAGTGGCTACCACGTTTGCGGCCAGCCAGCACCCGCCGCGGCCGCTCGCAAGCAGCAGGGCGCAGTCCGGAGCGTCCACTGGCGGATCTGCAGCAGCCTCGCCGGAGCCTCCGACCATGGTCCGCCAGAGCTCCAAGGCGGGCAAGAACTTCCGGGAGGGCGTCGGCGAGGTGACGGGACTGAGCTCGCGTTCGCCCATCGTCGGCGCCACGGCCGATGCGCATGCCAACGCTACGGGTAGCAGCCTCTCTTCGACGTCGGCGCTGAGTTCGATTGGCTCTGCGATGCAGTCCCCCCCATCGGCGCGGCCCGCCGATGCAGGGAGCGAGCTTGGCACCAGCGGCAACCCGCTGCCGCCGGGCATGGCACCGTTGGCGGTCCCCATGCCTGGCCGCCTCGACGACGATGCGGCCGAAGGAGGGCCCGCGGTCGGGACCCACGTGGATGCTCTCATCTCTGGCATGGGCTCGACGCTGATCGATGACATGGCCAACAGCAATTGACCGCGGCGTTGCGCTGCCACGGCCGCCGCTGTAGATTAGGCCGTTGCTTTATCGCCATACCCTCCGCTTTCGCAGCCAGCCAGCTGCTCGTCTATCTCCTCTCGTTCAGTCCGCTCGCAGAATGAGTGACGAGGCAAGCCCAAATGCCCGTGTGTGGGGGGCGTTTGGCATGGCTTGGCCTGGCCTGGTCGAGGTCGGACGAGGCTGGGTCTCGCGGGCTTGAGGCTGGATCGCGTTACGGCCGAGAGAGACTGAGGCCACGCTCAGAGAAAGCGAGGCACGCGGCCCAAAAAACGGCGCGGCAGGCGGCTTCTTCTGACTGACGACGGGCGTACGTTTGTCTGTGGACCCACGAACGGCGAGCAGGCCAAAGGGCAGCACAGCAGCCCTCGTCATACCCACCTCTCGTTGGTCCCCACCTCATTTCGCCTGGCCACCACCACGCACACTCCTACCACTCTGCTCTTTTGCTGGCGCCACCGGAGCTCATCCTGGCTCCCGCCGTCTGCATTCGACCCATGCAAGCCGGCTGACTGCCCTCCCTCCGACACGCCTCAAGATGAACTCGCGACAACCCACCGGCTCCGGCCTGCGGCTGGACGAGGATGCCCTGGCGCAGCAGCCTTCTTCCTCGGGCAGGGCTCGTCGCTCCACCACCGCCCGCGCCGCCGCCCGCGCATCCCCTTATGCCAGGACACCCACCAAGCAGGTAGCCCGCACCAGCCTGGCATCACCGGCACCTGCAGCCGTGAGTAAACACGGCCGCCCAGATGGGTAGGCCGACGGCGGCTCTTGTCCCCGCCCCGGATGTATGCGCTGACCTTTTCCTTGCTCTTCCATCCGACGACTGACACTGCAGTCGCCCAGCATGCTGAGCGGACTCATCAGCACCGTGACCAGCCCCTTCCGATTCCGCTCGCGGGCACGGCAGTCGGCCGCCTTTGGCACCGCCGACACCGAAGCGGAAGCCGACGACGACAACGGCCACGGCGTCAACATCGACATGGAGGCTGGAGGAACCGCTCCCGCCCGCATCGAGGCCCTTGAGCCCACGTCCCCTCTCGCCAATCGACACACAGCCCTGGTCAGCAAGGACGAGCGCTCCGAGACTCGACCCGCCTCTTCCAACACGCTCACTGTGCCGACGGCGGCGCCCTTCGCCGTCAGCCCGACCCGGTCGCGGCCCAGCAACCTCGACCTGAGCCCGGCAGGCCCTTCCCTCCGTTCCGCTGCATCTCCGCGAGCCTCTTCGCCGCTGCCTGCCAGGACGGCACCCCGTTCACCCCTCGCCGAGAGCTCCACCCTCCCTTTCACGCCGCAGGAGCCGCCGCGCAAGCGGGCCACGCGGTACAGCTCCACCCAGATCGACGCCAGCGCGGGCCGAGCGCAGCCAGACGCCAGCCCGGTCTCGCGCAACTTTGAACTGCTTGCGCGCTTCTTTGAGCAGAAGCAGAGGGAAGGCGGTCTCCACGGTGGAAGCAGCGGACTGACAGAGGTCGAGGTCGAGGGGTGCCTCAAGCTCATCGAGGATAGCATGGCCGCTGGACGCGACCTAGCCCACGAGTTCGGATATGCGTCCAGCAGGCTAGGCCGAACAGCCGGCGTGCGGCAGCCTAGCGAAGCCCCCTCGTCGTCCCGTGCAAGTTCGGTTGCGCCGCAGACGTCGGCGTACCCAGCATCTCAGACGTTCGGCAACCTCTTCCATCCCGGATCGTCGATCAAGCCGACCGGGGCCTACTCGTTCCTTGCCCCGCGGTCGTCGTCGACCGCTTCGATCGCCTCGTCCGCGTCTGCGAGAAGGCATCGGCCCCTGTACCTTGGCCCAGGCATGGGCTCGCAGCTGACGAGGCGCCGGACGCTGGCACCGGGTTCCCGGTCGTTGGGAGACTCTCTTGCCCAGTCTCGGATGGGTCTTCTGCCAAAATCGACCTCGGACACGAGCCTGGTCGACGCCGCCAGGGAGCGGCAGGAGCAGGCGAATGCCGCGCCCGAGGAGGCCAAGCGGCGCAGGACAGAAGACGCTGAGCGAGGCACAGCATCGCAGCAGCAGGACGCACGCTTCGAGAGCCTGTTCGAGAGCCAGCGGACGCAAAGCAGCGAGCTGGCCAAGAAGACGACGTCGGCCGCTGCCACCCCGAAGCGCGATGCGGGCCTCGGCGTCAAGCGGGGCGCTCCGCAGGATGGCCAGTCTCAGGGCAAGAAGGCAGAGGACGGCTACGTCAACGGCGTGCGCCCGGCTCAGGACAGCACCCCGGTGCGCGTCGCGACAAAGACCGCCACCGCCATGCTCGACATCCTCAAGGACAGCCCGCCGGTCCGGCCTCCCGTGCAGCCGGAGCTCGTCAACCCGTACCAACCCTCGTCGACGCTGTCCAAGCTGCCCAAGAAGCCCAAGACACAGACGCCTTCCAAGTCGGCCCGTGCATCGATGGTGACGCGTGCCAAGGCGCGCCAGTCTGCCGCCGAGGCGAAGACGAAGAACGAGGAGCCGAAGCGGGAGTCGATCCTCGATGTCATCGAGCGCACGGCGCCCAAGGAGAAGCCAAGGCGCGGCCGCGTGGCCACCGAGACGCCCGACGTGGCGATGCAGGATCAGACGCCAGCGGCCGCGACGCCTGCCACTACGACGCCAGCAACCAGCGAGGCCGATGTTGCGCAGGCCAGGAAGGCCGAGAAGACGGAGGAGGCACGGCGGCGGCTCGCAGCACTCAGCAAGAAACGCGAGGCTGACTCGAAGCAGGACCAGCCTGCCGCCGCTTCTTCCTCGGCTCCCTCCGCTCCGACGCCCGCCTTCACCTTTGGCGCCCCCGCGTCGCAGCAGCCGCAGCAGCAGCAACCGAGCACCAGCACTACTTCCGCGCCGTCGACCGGCTTCAGCTTCGGTGTGGCCAAGCCCGCAGCGAGCCTCGCGCCGCAGCTCCCACAGCAATACACGGCCTCGAAGCCCAAGAAGCCGTCGCCGCTCTCGGTCACGTTCCAGGCGCCCGACTCACCCAGCTCGGCCTCGGAAAAGTCGATGGCCGACTCGCCCGTGCCCGCGTCCAAGCCTTCCTTCAGCTTCAGCCAGCCCACCGCCTTCTCATTCGCATCGCCATCGGCTTCGACGACGCCTGCCGAGCCCAAAGCCAGCGCCGCACCGGCTCCAGCCGCCAAGCCCTTTACCTTCGGCGCACCGGCCAAGGCGGTGACCAAGGAGAGCCCTGCGCCGCCGGCCCCGGCACCCGCAAAGCCAGCCTTCTCATTCTCGCCGATCACGCCGGCCCTGGCTCCTTCGCCTGTAGCCCCTGCCCAGGAGGTGGCCAAGCCTGCCGCTGCGGCAGCTCCCGCTACGACCTCGAAGCCAGCTGCACCCGGGAACGCCAAGGACGAGGCCGTCGCAGCCCCCATCAGCGCCCTTCCGACATTCAGCTTTGACTTTTCTGCTCCCGCCAGCACCGCTGCGGCTGCGGGGCCCGAGGCCAACGCCATCAAGAAGGAGGTCCTGTCTCTGGCAGCGACCAGCCTGCCGACCTTCGACTTCATCTTCGACACCACCTCGACGCCTGCTTCGACCGCCAAGGGGGCAGCCGAAGAGACGAAGCCAGCGGCGAGCGCACCGATCTCGTCGTTCTCGTTCGGTAAGCCCGCAGCGGGCTCGTCGACGGGCTCGTCGCCCACGTTCTCGTTCAACAAGCCCATCGCATCAGCGCCAGCGCCCGCCGCATCGACCGGCTTCAGCTTCTCGCCTCTCGGCGGCTCGAGCGGCCTGGCCACGCCCGCGTCCACGCTCTCGAGAGCTTCGACGCCCGCCTCGATTGACGAGCCGACTGCCTCCGATGGCAAGGCGGCAGCAGCTGCCAACAGCGGGTCCAACGGCCTGCTGGGCGAGGGAGAGGGAGAGGAGGACGAGACGCAGATGCACGAGGTGCGAGCCAAGTTCTGGCGCTTCGACCAGGAGGGCAAGGCATGGAAGGACCTCGGCATCGTCATTGCCAAGCTCAAGAAGCACAAGGAGACCGGCAAGCGAAGGATGCTGGTGCGCAACGAGGCGAACGGCAAGGTGGTGGTGGTGAGTCTGCGGCGCCTCGGAGCGACCCCGCATTGACCAACGTGCCCCGGAACTGACCATGACCCCCATGCCGACCTTTCTCGGCTTGCTGGCTGGCAGAACTTCAACCTCTACTCGTCGATCAAGGTGACGCAGGACAAGAACGTCGTCTCCTTCCTGGGCTTTGACGGCAGCACGCCGACTCAGTTCCGATGCAAGATCAAGACGGAGGACGGCGCCAGGGCCTTCAAGGACGCCATCGAGCGAGAGGCGGCCGCAGCCTGATCCCGGCGCGCGCGCCGGACCCGTCGGCGCTTCTCTCAGCCTTGAGCCGCTTCTCGCATGTTCAGGTCCACCCTTATCGTCCCTGCATCCTCTGTATCGCTACACCCACTCTGCCCCGCATAGAACGTGAGGCCATCTTCATTTTGGGCGGCGGGTGTCGTCTGCCGCGAGAGTCGGTCGAAGAGGCAGATGGGCTGGCGAGCTTCGGCTCCGAATTTCGGCAGGCGGGGGCTCAGCTGGAAGATTCCTTCGCTGGCGCGAAAAAGGTAGCGGCGGGGCCCTCGGAAAATCTGGACTCTTCGTCGGTCGTCGCCGCTTCCTCCCTTCCCACCACCACCACCACATTCGCCTCGCACTTGGAACGTCCCGACAGCCCCTCATTGAGAGGGAAGAGACCATACCACCACCGTGCATCGGCCCTCGACGACCGTTTCCGCTCCGCCTGTGTCGCCCCTCGTCGTGCCCTCTCCTCACCTCCGCCCCCCGCACCCTTCCACCACCACCATCACACCACATCCAACCCGCCCCTATTATTTGATTGATCAGTGCTCTCTCCTCCGTGCCTGGTTGATTGAAGAAGGAGGCTAGATCCACCCCCATACCGCCCCACCTACTCAACTCCGGGGACCGGTTCAAACCATATGGATTTAGGCTCCTGTCCCGACGCTCCCAGGACAGGCGCCCATTTACATGGTTCGTACATCCCTCCCGTTCCAACTTCTCCCGCGCCTTTGCATCGCGATCGCCCGGTTCGGCTCCCTCGTCGCCTCCGCATCCTATGCTTGTCTTCCGCCCGCCCGCCCAACGTAATCCCATCGTGTCTCGTCGCAAAAAGTGTCTCGACCCGTCGCGCATTGTGAACCTCGCCCCCTTCCTCGCCCAGCTCTACCCCTCCCCTTTCCCTCGCACCACGGACAGCGATATGGCGAACCGGGCAGACGTGCCACTTCAGCCCTCCTCCATACAGCGACGCACGAGGCGGGGTTCCCCAGGCTGGACCGATCGACGAGTGCAACGACAGGAAGGCGGCCGGATCGACTTGGAACGTCCGTCTTCGTTCGGTTTCGACCGCGGCGGTGACGAGACTTGGGCCATTCGTCCGGCGCTCCCCGTCGCCTCGCTCTGTGTCCTTCCGCCGGGTTCCCCCATCTCGGCGCTTGCGGGGGAAGGTCGTAACGAGCCACGAAACCAACCTGCCCGCCATCGTTCGATAAGGCGCTCCAACCCCCCGCCCGACCCCGTCCCTCTACCCTCTTCCTCCCTCGTTGATCCCAGGACCGACGAGAACGGGGGCGAGGGAAGAGGGGCAGCGGGGCCAGCGGGGGAAAAGTCCAAGAAAGATCCACTCCCATCCGATCCGGGTGCGTTGGTCGGGCAATGGAAGAGTTGCTCCGACCCTGCCCTCTCCTTCCCCCCGCCCCCACTCGCGTGAGCCGAGGGAGGGGGACGGGGCAGCCCGGGTTGTGGGAGCGCAGTCATCAGGCCAGGCTTGTTCTCCGAAGTACAAAGGAGAGGGAGCGTTCGTGATTGCGGACATGCCCCCCCAGCCCGGCGTCGGCTCGCGGCGCGTTTGCTCGGAAGTCACCTTCGTCGTTGTCGTCGCGGGTAGACGGTATCTCTGTGGCGGGCGCTGCCGTCGACGTCTTTCCATGATCATTTCTTCATGCTCGCTGAACCGTGATCGTTCACTCGACTATCGGCCGTCGACGCATCATCGGGTTGCTCCTTTGACATGCCTCGACCATCGCATCACTCCCTGGAGCCATCTTGCTCTGGAAGCGACGACCTCTTCGTCCGCGTCTTGAAGATGAGATTTGATGCGCACGTTCCCACGCAGGATCCGGCCCTGTCTGTCCGGTGCGGTACGAGACGCGCCGTCGAAACGGGGACAGTGGCACCGTGACGGGATTGTGAAGGGGGCGAGGTCCGCGACGCTAACGGCCTCCGGATCGCCACCGGCAGCAGGGAACAATCAAAGATCCATATGCATGAGCTGGGCTCAAAAAGACGACGACGCCTTAATCAAAGCTCTTTGATTGCGAGCGTGTCGCGGGAGGGGAGCAAGACTCGCAGCCACAGATGCAAGGAGGATCTAAAAGTTGCACGGCAAGAAGGGGTGCGTCCCCGCTCCGGCTCCCGCATCCCCATCGTCCTTGCCCCTCTGTACACCTTGGGGCGTCTAGCTCCGCTTCGTATTGTTGCCGTCTAGGCTCGTACAGTATCTGTAGCTTGTCCGCGCACCTCCTGGGCGTCGGTGATTGCTGTCGCTTCGACCCGTCCTCGGGGAGCGAGGAGGGAAAAGCAATGTGAAAATTGCAGGCGAAAAGAAGACGCGCGGGCGCGGGCGACTGCGGTCGTCGAGCTTCGACCCTGTCCGCTTCCACGGAGAGCGATCACGCATCCAGCAGCCAATTTAGTCGAGCAAGGTGCGGGGTCGGTCTCGTCTGGGCCGAACCCTCGCTGCGGTAAGCTCGGCGTCGGATGTCCAGACGACAGAGAGATGCAGGCGGTGTCATCCCCGCCTGCCAGGCCTGACGAGAGAGCTGGCCAGGCCATGCTTGGTCGGCCTTGCCAGCGCGCGTCCGAGCTTGGACCCGGAATCGAAGCTCGCTCGTTCCACAGGACGGACCTCGAGGAGCGGTCGGCTGGCGGATCTTTGATGTCGGTCGACTTTCGGACTCCTCTCTCCCGCGCCCCGGAGCGAGAGAGGTCGGTAGGCACCGTACCTAGGCCAGGGACAAGCTACATGTCGAGAGGCAAGCAAGGCGACGGAAACGACCCGTTCCGACGCCGGTCAGCGCATGAACCGCAAGGTCCGACGAGACAGAGCGAGGACAGCGGTCTCATCGGTAAGCGCCGCCCATTCAGAGAAGCTAGACGTTCCAGTTGACTACTGTCGTGCTACAGTAGGCCGGCTGACCCGTCCACCGGTAGTTATGTAGTGGGTACCGTACAGCTACTGTGACTGGACAGCCTTTTGCGTACGTTGGCGATCCGAACCTCGCTCGTCGTGGCGGAGGCTACCGGTAGCCTGCCGACCTTACCGTAAGTGCAGCGCGGTGCATGCTGCTGCAGAATCAGAGACGAGCGGCCGGCGAATGCACCTCGAATACGGTACCGGTAGCTCTGTTTCGTCTGCGTCCCATTGTTCTCCATGTCGCCCGCGATCGTCACGTTGCAGCCAGCTGTGTGGTGCAAAGCCTTGTCTGAGAGAGTGGGCCGTTGGTACAGCACCATGCTGCGACGGGATATGTACCGTAGCCAACAGCTGGGACTTCTCGAGAGCAGAGCTGGACGAGGAAGCCGCTGGAGTCGCCTTTCGTCCTCTAGAGAAGCTCCGTTCAGCAGGCAAGGCGGGAACAGGCAGGCAAGCAAGCAAGGAGTGGTCTCATAGCGACGAAGAAGACACAGGAAGGAAGAAGCAAGCAAGCAAGCAAGCAAAAAGTTTTATTGCGAGGCAACGAAGCTCCGCCATTGGCATGCACCAACATGCATAACGGTGCATCGGCGCCGCCGCAAGGTTTCCTTTTCGACTGTTGTGGCATCGAGCATTGGCCGAAATGCGCTTGTCGGTACAGAACCCATCTAGCCTGCGGTTGTCACCGAAAGCCAGCCGGGGAGCGAGGGACACGGCAGGCAAAACGCGTGGTGCTCAACGGAGAGGATGGCGGATCCTCGTTGCCCTTGCGTAGATGGCCAGTAGACATGGCCGGTGACCAAGCTGGCATGGCAATGTCACCATTCCCCGTCGAGTCGCCACTCGCCACACATGAAGTGTTTCCCAGCGAGCCATGTCAGTCAGTCCCGGCAGTCTAGCGTACGGCCGGGTATCGGTGCGGGTTTAGCAAAGGCACGCTGGGCTCCCCTGCCAAGGGAGCGGCGCTAGCACACCGCAAGGTGGCAAGCGGGCAAGTCGCTTCCATCTTGCCGAAACGTGGAAAAAAAGGATGCGGAGAGCGAGCGAGGCGAGAGAGCAGGCAGGGTTCAGCACCCCAGGGGCCCAGGGCGGCCAGGCAGGCGACACTCAGCAGAGGGGCAGCGCCGCAGAACTTGAGCTGGAGCCAGGCAGCCAGGCAGCCGGGCAGCCGGGCACTCGACAAGCAAAAAAGCCAGGTGCCAGGGCGCCAAGCGAGTCGCCAACGCAACTCGTTGCCGGTCCGCAAGCTCGATCTCACCGCAAGGCACCAAGAGCGGCAAAGGCGGGCAGGAACTCAGGGGACCCCAGTTGCATGCATACTTCGATCCCTGTCCGCAGAAAGAAAGCTCCGCATGAAACTCAACAAGACGCGCCGTGCGTACTGTATGTGTCTCGTCGAGCGGTCCCAACTCAGCTCGGGTCCTGCGTGAGGTGCGCTCCAAGGGGCAGGCCGTACTGGATACCGTACAGTACCTAGCACAGTTTGCAGGCAAGCTCTAAAACGTCGAGCGAGATGAAAGAGCACGATCAAGCACTTCGCCGGACTAGGCATTATTTTGTCGCGGAACAATGGTGGAGCGGCTGGCTTGGCGAGGGCCACCTCGACCGTACCACGGAGCGCGGGGTATAACCCTATGGGCAGCATGTATTCACTCTGAGCGTGGCATCAGGTGGTACAGACGGAGCTCGTCGACGCTTTGGGAAGGACAAGCAGAGAGTTGGGAAAACGTGTGTCGACTTTGTCGCTGTCTCCGAGGCTTCGCGGAGTAGAGCAGCGGGCAGAGCTTGTGTTTTTCTTTTCATCTTCCTTTCCGGAGTCCAGCGCAGCGCCGGAGCCCCAAAAGGTGGCAGCCTTCCGCTGCAGTCTCGTGTCAGCTCGCCGTCTGTCCCGGTGGCGGGTTGCTGCAACCGCGCCAGCGGCTTCTGCATGTCGCCTGGCCTCCACGGGGCGGAACGACGACCGTCTGTCGAGGGCACAAAACGTCGCATTCTTCGTTCGTACAGATGCCACCGGTACCGGTATCACGACTATGACTGCCGCGAGTCCAGTCCTCGCCCTTGTGGCGTGGCGTAGGTCCACGCTCCTCTGTACCGCGGTACCATCGTCAATCGCCTCGGATTTTCATTACCTGTTTGTGCACAGATGGTCGGTCGAGGCGGAACTTCAACCATGCGGTGCCAGGTGTGGCGGGCTTTGGCCGCCTGTGGCGGTCCCTCGCCAGCGCGGGCAGATTTCTAGCGCCCGCCCCTTCCGCCCTGTTGCATACAGATGCGCTTTACGATCGCTGCGGCCCATTTACCGTAGCTCTTGCTGAGCTTCGTGTAGACTCTGACGAGCAGGGGCAATCATCAAGCCCCCGCCGGGCGTCGGCGTCTGCAACACCGTGCTCCAGTCTCTGCACATGGTCAGTACAAGAGAGCATGACAAACATGAGCTCAACTCCTGCGTGTAGCTAGGTACGGTGTCTGGAGTGCGCTCGATTCTCGGACCATGTCGTCGCTCTCGCTCGGCTGACGTTTTGACTCTCCTCGCGCCATCTATGAAGCCAGCTTCACGTGCGCCAGATCGAGCAACCATGCACCTGGACCAGACGGACCATGTATCGGACTGTTCCCTGAAGGGATCCGCAGATCCTGTGGCAATGGCGAGAAACGCTGCGTTTGCCAAGAGGAGGCTGTGATAATGTAGGTACAGCAGACCTTTGATCCCGTCACCGGATACCGGTACTCGCACGATGGACCCTACGGGTGTCGGCGGAGGACGTCCCCGTCCGTGCTGAGTACGGCATCGTCTGTACGGTACAGATCCGTACACACGGCGTCGCGGCGCGGAGTTGAGTAGACGGGGAAGCAACGGACCCGGCGCTGAGTCGCGAGGCAGGGCACCTGAGTCCGCCGAGCTGTGGACCCATGGGTCCAGCCGGCGCCACCACGGCCGCCGCAGCCGGCGCCGTACCGGTAATCGTAGCAAGCTGTACCAACGACCTCACCGGGTGACGATGCCCGACGCTCCTCACAACTCACAAGGAGCCGTGTCTTGAGCGATTTTGCTCTGCAGGCAGCATGCGTGGATCGACCCCTGCGGATCCCGGGACACTGGCATGGTGATTCATCTCGCGCTGCCGCCACCTCTGGCCGAATGGTCCCTGCGTTTAGAGCTGCTCTCCCCCGCACCCAAGGATCGACGATGCTGAGCTGACAAGCTCCCGCAGGGGTGACTGGCATTCGTCGACGGCGTCTCTCTCTGTCCGTACGGGTGGCGAGAGCATCGCCTCCTGTTGACAGCGGCGCGATCGTCAGCTTGACGTGTGGCCAGCTCAAATCTGGCCCCGCGCGTGCTGCCGACGGCTTCACGACATGAGGCCGTTCGTAGTGAGCCCTATTCCGCCACAAAGCTGGCCCCTTTGCAGCTTTCACCTTGCGGGCCTCTGTCCCCGGAGAACCTTTCGAGCAGGACACGGCACAGCCCGAGTATTGTACTGTACGTACAGGCATGTAAAAAGCGGCGAGAAGCGGACTACCTAACAATCAGAGTGGGAGTTAGACCTTGGAGCGCTCGACCCGAACTGGCCTGCTGCGCCCACGCTTAACCTCTTTGCCGGGCCTGCCTGGAACCTCGACGGGCATGCAACGGATCGGACACGGCCCGATCCGCTCCTCTTGGCGCTCACCTTCCCGCCAAAGTGCAGCCCGTCGACGTCGTATACGGTGGGCACTACAGAAGGGCGCCGCGCTTGCCGCTACACGCCGTTCGGCCAGCAGAAGGACCACGGCGCCGGCGATGCTGGAACGGCACACAAGTTGGGCGATGTCGCCGGGCTATCTACAATGGTCACAGGGAGGCAGCTACAAGTTATGTGCTCGTACGTGATCCTGCAGAGCATGCAGCCGCGTATTGGACGAGGATGTGCAAGCAAGGTGTTCAGCTGTACCTCGGGATTTTAGGTTGCAACCCGGCTGCCATTGCGCTCAAGCGTGCGTCGAAGCCTGACGAGCCAGCAAACGACGTCGTCGAAGAGGCCGAGGCAAGCTGGGCCATTGCCCAAGCTCGGGATCGGGACGGCGCTCGTCCAGCCGCTCAACGACCCATTGCATCTGCCTACAGGGCTGCGCTGCTCTGTGACTGAGCCTGCCTTTGCCAACCGCCAGCGTGTGGGTCTGCTGCGGCTGGCTGCAGGCGAGGCAGGTGTCGATTCTGGGTGACGCTCGAGTAGACCAGGCGGCGCCCTCAAGCAGGCGCCTGCGTTTCCAAAGCCAAAAGCCAAAGCAGAAGACGCAGATGTGCGGATCCACGGCGGAGGCCACGGGCGCCCGCCCGAGCGAGCGAGCGAGCGAGCAAGCAAGGCAAAAGTTAGAAGCGACTCTACAAGCTCTCCAAGCGCTGCTGGTGGTGATCTCGGGTCGGGCGCCCTGCATGAAAACTCTGCTCAACCTGGCTGGCCCTACCGCCGCCTGCTCGCCTGCTTGCACCACCGCCAGGCCAGGCCAGGCCAGGCCGGGCATCCAGGCGCGGGCGAGCGTGGTGTAGCCTAGCCTGTTGCTGGTGGCCTGCCCGCTTGGCTGGCTGACCCGTTAATTTCTTTATTGCGTTTGTGCTTTCCGCAGAGAGGGCAGAGGTAGGGGTCTCGCGGGCCGTCTGCCTGACCGCCCGGCCCCCCCTCTTCTGCCTATCCGCCCGGCCTTCGCTTGCAACAGAAGGGACCCACGCACGGCGTCTGCTGCCAGGCTGCCTCTGGCCCCGTACTCCGGTGGGTCCGCGCTGCCAGACCTCTCTCGAGTACACGTACCGCGTACGCTGATTTGCCTCTGCGCACCACCAGCCCGGCTTTGTCGCTGCACGCCCACGCCACACTTGCCTTCTCTCAGGTCCTCCAGCCCCTCTGTCGACGCTGCTGGGGCTAGGTGATTCCCAGGCTCCTCTCCCGACCACCACCCGCCATCGTCCGCCACCCTACACCATCCCCTCCGCCCCATCCTGACATCCTCTGCGCCTCTTTCTCTTGGCCGACTAACCTTTGCATCGGCATCTCTCCGACCTTTTCCAGCCTATCTATTCTCTTCTCTATTCTGGCTCGGCTCCTCCGTCGATCGATTGATCGGGGAAGCTGCCGTTGACTCGGTCACGCCGTACTCGTCGCGACACACTTTTCGGATCTACCGACGAGCAGCGATCCGCTGCTGACGGGCTCACCAGAGCTTCTACCCGTCCCGCTCCCCTGTTGTTCTGCTCTCGACATCGCGGTGCATCGCGCCCTCTTTGACCCTAGCGCCCCTCTGCAAAGGCTCCATTAAGCCGACCTTTCGACGCCTCCGGCCACTTCCCGGATCGACTATCCTCAGGCCAGCCTCTCCTCGACCCGGTCTCCTTGCCCGCTCCTGACGCGACCATCGACCATCGATCATCGACCTTGCCCTTGGCCTGCATGCACCCCTGACCGTGGCCGTGAGTAGCCACGCCCTCCCCGCCCGACTGCTCTCCCTGCCGTTCGGAGCGCACGTCGAGCATCGCCCAGCACGCCTCGACGCAAGCAGCTCGCCCGGGTCCGCGGCACTCGTCCCGACCAGGCGCGCTGCGCCAGCCAAGAGGACCATCCTGACGCCGAACAGCCCCCTTTTCCATTCCGCATCCGAGCAGGCCTTTGACCAGCACCGCGACCCAGTGTGCTTTTCTCCTCCGACCACCCTTTCGCACGACGCAGCAAAAGCCCACCATGCAGCCTTCCAGGCACAACCCGCGTCCAGACCTGATGCGGTCGCAGACGACTGCCCGAGGATACGGCCCCGGCAACCCTCCCGCGCCCCAGTATCCCGACTATGGCTCGCGCGAGTACAGACATCACCCTCCCGCCTCCGGCTACTATCCTCCCTCGCTACCCAACCTCACGCGGCAACACCATTCATACTACGACGAGCGAGGCCCATTGCCTCCACCGCCGCTGCACGCGCGTCATCCCGGCAGGGACGAGGCGATGCACGAGTATGCCGGCCGCCCTCTGATGGCCTCCGCCACGTCGACCGCTTCCTCGGCAATGTTCCCTCACCCGCACCCGCACCCGCACCACTACCCGCATCACCACCCACACCAGCCTTCATATCCATCTTCCGTGCCCTCCCTGCCGCTGCACGGCCTCCGTGCACCTGCCGCCCCCATGATGGCGGCCGCGGGGTCTTCGCAGCAGCCGACCTATCGCGGACACATCAAGACGACCAAGGATGCCATCCTGCTCCTCTCGGCCTGCGACCTCCCGGAGGGGGCCGGTTCACATAGGAACGGGGGCATCGCCCCTCCCCGTCGGGTGACCCGACGTCTGCTCGACTCGGAGCGTGCCGATCTCATCTGCTCTGGCAGCATATTTGTCTGGGACGAAAAGGAAGCTGGCATGCGACGCTGGACCGACGGCAAGTGCTGGAGCGCCAGCCGCGTCAGCGGCTGCTTCCTCACCTACCGCGAGCTCGAGGCGCGCAAGAAGCCGTCGTCGTCGATCACCGGAGGGCCCACCTCGAACCTCTACAAGACCGAGGGCCTCATCAAGCAGTCCTTTAGCATGACGACCACCTCGGGCCGCAAGCTGCACGCCATCTCGTACTACACCAAGCGCGACGTGCGCGAGGGCGCGCTTCGACGGGTCAGCGAAGACCCGCGCTTCGTCGGCGAAGGCGGCGGCGAGTGGGACCTCCAGGTCGACGAGCACGAGTACCCAGACCCGATCAGCCGAGCCGGAGAGCTGCCCGACGCCAACGGTCAAGAGGTGGGCTCGCAGTCTCCGCCGTCCTTGGCCGGTCGGGCCGATGGCGGTGATGCACCAGGTTCGTCGAGCTTGGTAGACGACCGCGAGCTCATCGACGACGGCGCTCCGATCTCGCCAAGATGCCAGGCTCCCAGCCACCGCCTTGTCGCCTCACCCTCCACCGCGCAGAGATCTCCCAGGCACCACGACACCGGGCGCGGGACCGTCGCGTGGAGCGGGCACCCCGGTTCCCGCAAGGACTTTGCCATGGAGACGTCGGCGTACAGTCGCCAGCGAGCGCCATTCGCCCAGGACGCCACCCCTCTCCACGAGGCGCGAGGGCTGCTTCCGATCAAGCCGATTCCGGTCCAGTCGCGCGTCTCTGACCTTCCGCTGAAGCCGACGAGTCGCTCCTTTGACGCCGCCACGGGGCGTTTGGAACCCTCTTCCGTCCACGTCCTCGAGGACCAGGCGCACGGCTCCTACTTCCGCCAGCCCATGCCGAGCTGGGCCAAGGGCGGGCTGAAGCGCTCCTATGCCGACTACGCCGCCGCCGACGAACAGATGGCGGCGGCAGTGGCGGCCGAGGCACAGCAGCGGCCCAAGCTGCAGCGCATGCGCAGCTCCAGCATGAACAACGGCAGCGGCGAAGACGCCTTTGCCTCGGTCCGTACGCTGGCCCGCGCTGGCTCCGACGAAGAGGGCGTCTCCAAGATGCGTTCGACCCATACATGGTCCCCCGCGCACACCCCCGCGCCCGGAGGCGGCGCCGGTGGGCCGCCCCGCGAGCAGGACTCGGCCGTCGGCGCATTGCTGAGCCTGCGTTCGTCGGCGTCGGACGACTCGAGCAAGATGCCCGGTCTCGACTCGATGCTGAACCCGTCGCCTTCGACGTCCACCCCAACATCGATCGACTCGTCCAACGACAGCGCCTCTAAGCCGTCCCTTTCGCGGTCGGACCGTGCCGCGCTGGACCGCTTCAGCATCCGGATCTGAAGCGGCGTCTCTGCCGTCGTCGCAAGTCGCGCGGCTTTGCCCATCTGTCTCCGTGGTCCACCAACCGCTGAACCGCCTCCTGCCTCGACCCTCGCCGTCCTTCCCTCGGCCCTTGCCCGTCTCTCGCGCTCTCTGTACCTGTTACTCGCCTTGCCCCCGGCCCCCCATTCCACCTGCATGATCCAGCCATCTGTACTACCAAAGCCAGCTTTATACACGATAGAACACCCGCGAGCGCTTTGCTAGATTCCCTTTCCAAAACCCTGGGCCATACACGTCACCCTCACCTCTGGGCCTCGATACAGAGCAGCAGCAGCAGCAGCAGTAGCAGCATCGATACTCGTCTCGTCTCGTTTCGTTTCGTCTCGTCTCGTCTCGTCTCTTCCCTTTTCCTCCTCCTCCACCACCTCCTCGTCCTCCGCCTGGCCGCCTGGCGGGCATCGAAGGGGTTTCGCTCCGGTCTTATCTCCTTGGTACTCAACTCTGGACTCTTTCCACTCTTCCCCCGATATCCCTCTTTGTGCTCTTCGCGGTCCTGCCCTCGTTCGGGATCCCTTCGGTCGCATATCGACAGGTGGGGGACCACGCCATATCGATTCCCCCTCCCTCTTCATCCCGGTTTATCGTGTACGAATATCATCCGCCTCCTCGGACTTGGCCCTTGATCCCTGACTGGGCCTGCGCCAGGCGAAGCTTGGTCCGTGCTTCTTCAAGGGATCTGGACTCGAGGCGCGGGTGCTGAGCGTCGACCCATGCCCGCGCGTCGGTGCCCTCCTTGCTCGGCTGCTCGTTCAGTCACCCTGCCGAGGAAGTGCCCTCATTCCTCATCTGTTGAAATCCTTGTTTCGTCTGACTTGACCACAAACGGACCTAGCTACAAGCTGCAAGATACAGCGCGCGCGCGGAACGAGACACGAGGGAACGCGGTGCCGGCGGAGGGTATCAATCGATCAATCAGTACATGCCGAGCTGCTGTGCCTGGATCTGGAGGGCGAGGGGGAGCGAGTAGCTGCGGCAGTGGGCGAGGTTGCCGCCCATGTAGTAGAAGCGCGGGTGGCCGCTGAAGCGGTACATGGCCGAGAGCTCCTCGTCGTCGTCGAGGCCCCACGCGAGCTTGAGGCGGTCGGCCACCTTGTCGCCAAAAATCTTGCGCGCCGTGGTGCGCATGTTCTGGTAGCCCGTGGCGCAGACAATCACGTCGGCCTCGAGCTTGTGCCCGTCGGCAAAGACGACGCCGTCCGGCTCGAGGTGGTCAATCTCCTGCCCCTGCTTGATCTTGATCTTGCCGTCCATGATGAGCTTCGACGCGCCCACGTCGAGGTAGTAGCCCCCGCCGCGGCGGTAGTACTTCATCAGGAAGCCCGAACCGTCAAAGCCCATGTCGAGCTTGAAGCCGGCGTTGCTCAGACCGGAGAGGAGGTCCTTGTCAAAGTCGGCGATCTTGGCCGTGATTTCCTTGTGCAGCTCTTGATGCACAGGATTCGGCGTCGAGACAAACATCAGGTCGGCGTCCTCGGTCGGCGGGCCGTCTTCGCAGTAGAGGCCCTTGAAGAGGATCTCGGTGATCGAGTCCGACGACATGACGTACGTCGACGAGCGCTGCACAATCGTCACGTCGGCGCCCTGCTCGTAAAAGTCCTGGGCAATGTCGTGGCCCGAGTTGCAGCAGCCAATCACGATGGCCTTTTTGCCCTTGAACTCGGCGCCGCTGCCGTGCTGCGACGAGTGGACCAGCCTGCCCTTGAAGTCGTCGGCGCCCTTGAACGCCGGCATGTTGGGCTCGCCCGAGTGGCCCGTCGCCATGATGATGTGGTCCGGGTGCAGCGTCCGCTCCTGGACGCCGTCGGGCGTGTTGCGCCGCACCGTCACCGTCCACTGCTTCTTGGCCTCGTCGTACGCCACGCTGTCCTTGACAATCGTCGTCTCCATCCAGTGGTTGAGCTCCAGGGTCGACGCGTAAAACTCGAACCAGTCCGCCAGCTTGTCCTTGGGCGTATACACCGGGTGGCTCGGCGGGAACTTGAGCAGCGGAAGGTGATCGTACCAAATAGGATCATGGAGGACTAGGAAGTCATACCGTTTGCGCCAGTTGTCGCCGACCCGCTTGTTGGCGTCGATCATGAGGGCATCGACGCCGAGGTGCTTGAGGCGCGCCGAGGCTGACAGGCCGGCCTGGCCCGCGCCGACGATGAGGACCTCGGGCGACCTGTCGATGTACTCCTTCTCCTCGGCGCGGCGGTCCTTCCACGACTTGCGGCCGACGTGCTGGCCATGTTCGACGCCAAGAGCACGTCGCTCGCCGAGCTTGGGCTCGTGGCCTCGAATCTCTTGCAGTGTCGTGTAGAGGGCGAAAATCTGCGAGGCGGGAGTGGTGGTGGTGTGGAGGCGCGATTTCCCCGAGTCAGTGATGGGCTCAGGGTGAACAGTCGTCTCGCGGGCTCGTTGCTGATGGCCCGCTACTCACCCTCCAGGAGCCATTCTTGGACTTTCTCAGGCGGAACACGCCGCGGCCCTTGCCGACGTCGGTGTCAAAGGTGAAGAAGGCCATGACGAGCTGCTCGCCCTTGATGCCTGCCGTGAACTGCGCCGAGGGCTTCTCGACCTGGATGTTGTTGAGCGTACGCGCGCGGGCGCCGTTGTCGCCGAGGAAGGAGCCAATCTTGGCATGGCCCTGGACGGTCTTGAAGTCCCAGTGGAGGGCGATCTGGTCCTTCCAGTAGCCCTCGTCGTCAAAGAGCTGGACGGCAGCGTCAAAGTCGCCCGTGCTGAGGGCCGACTCGAGCTGGGTGGCGACCGTAGTGACGATCCTCAGGGGGTCCTGGGACGCGACGGCAGCGTTGCTGGGGCCGTCCTTGAGGGCTCCGTCGAGGGCCGGCAGTGCCGTGGTGCTCGACTGCGGGGTCTGTGCCAGGGCAGCCATGATTGCGATGGTGTCCGAGCTCGGGCAATGATGTCGTCCAGATGTCGTGTGCGTGGAGAGGGTTACGTTGGGCTGTCGCTGTAGATAGAGTGGTGCTCGAAGAGCGGATGCGATGGTGACGAGGCAGAAAGCGCTGGCCAGGTGGCGACTTTCTTATACGATGCGACGGAGCCGGGCGTGGCCAGGCCTGGCTTGAGCGGCGTGGCGTGGCGGGCGTAGGCCGAAGAGGTGGGGGTCCCCGAGTGTGGGAGACCAACAAGAGTGGCCAATGCGCTCAAGTGTGGGCGAATTGGCCTTCGAGAAGCGGGAGCGGGCCGAGCAGGCCAGCAGGTGAAGCGGCCAAGCAGGCCAGCGCGCATCGCAGTGCATCGCATGGCGGCCAAGGCCTTGGCCAACGTCGGCTTCCCCGCAAAACTGGCCAAGCACGCCTGCGGCCAAGCCAGGCCAGTTGGACCCTGCCGAAGCCTGAGGGCCCTCGCCTTGCTTCCGCCACTCGGCGCCTGGCCCGGGTGCTGTCGGCCTCACCGAGCAGCGGGAGGCGGCGTAATTGCGCAAGGGTGCCGCTCGCTTGCCTGCCCAGCTGCCGCAACCAGGCCGACACAGGCGACGGCCAAGTCCCGCACCTTTTTGTCGTCGCCGTCGCCCTCTCCGTCGTGCCCCAGAGAGGCTGGTTTTGCCGCTGCATCGGCGAATGTCACTTGACCCTCGCGGCCCTGGCCCCCTCTGCTGCCACCCTCCTGTCGACGTGCACGAGCCCGATACATACCGTTGACGGCACCCTACGAATGCGGGGTACCGTACGTCCACTTCCGAGCGGCTTTACCCCGCACTTTGGTCGACCCTGGGCCAGTCTCGCTGGCCCGCAGCAGGCCAACGTCGACGGCATCTGGCCGTCCATCTCGAAGGCGGTACGACGCCTACTGCACATGCTGCCTGTCTAGTGCTTTAGTTAGGTACCCCGCACTTTTCTTTGCCTCTGCCGGAACAACGTCTCGAAGGCCCGTCCTGATGTCGAGCGCCACTCTACCGCCATGTCCATCCCTCGTCGACGATGCCTGACATCCTGCTTGGCTCGACACGACACCAAGCAAAGCAACATGTCGATTTGTCCTGCCTAACTTGACCCACTCCGCCACCAGACGTCCATCGCGCGGGACGGCTCTGCCTTGTGTCCGCGTCCAACGAGGCCCCGCGGATGGGGCAGACCACTTTGCGCATGCCTGTGGTGCCAGGCCATGGTGAGCGATAGAGAGCGGCGCAGCGACGGCTTTTGGCATGACGGCTTGGCGAGCAGCAGGCAAGGCAAGGCGGCAGGCTCCCGCTGCGCGCCCCCGCTTTTTCCACCCCTCGCCGACGGCCAGCTACTCCTCTCTGGACGTCTCTGTTCGCTGCCGAGCACACTCGAGGCCTGCCTTTCGGGAGCCACCGCCTCTTCCTGTACTTAGCTTCGATATCGAGACCCGCCTGACGGAAGTGTCACTCCGCGCGCCTGCCAGGCCGTACAGGCAGGCGCCGTTCGCGTGCGAGCCTGCTTTCCCCCTGCGCACACCTGACTCGGCCCGCGCGCGCACCTTTGACCGCATTCCTCGCGCTACCCCGCCGTACGTCGGGTACTCTCACGCTCGCCAAGGCCAGCCCCGCCCTTGTCGAGACAAAGACGATGATGGACGCTCAACAGTCGCCCTCCTCGCTTGCTCGTCGTGCGCCATCTAGAAGGTGCAGCGAAAGGCGCCGCTTCCAGCCGGGAAGAGTCAACAACACGCCACACAAGCGAGGCCTGCCCAGCGGCTCAGCGCCTCGCCGCTGGCTCCTCTCGGACGGCGTGACACAGCATAGCCTGGGCCTTAGTGCGTAGTTAGACGTGCATCAGATTGCGTACGGCCGCACGGTACGGCAGGTGTAGGTACAGGTCTGGTGGAAGAAGCCCCGAGCGGCACACGCGGGTCAGCAGACCTACCCCCCCTTCTCGAGCATCTCTTGATCAACCCGCGAGCTCGCCCTGCGGCAAGACTCCGACAAAGACGACCAGGGCCTTTGTCGCACCACCTCGAGCGGCCGTAACACCGCAACCTCAGACCCACATCCGACGCAGCAGCAGAAAGAGAAGTGGGTCGGGTGCACTGAGCCGTAGTGGCGCTGACGCGCTAGACTCGACTCGCTCTTTTCGCTTTATCGCGGCTCAGCGGTCACCACAACGAGTCTTTTCTTTCGATTCAAGAAGCGAGCTACGTTCGGTCGGTACGAGATCAGGTGGTGGCCGTGCGTGTGAGGTGCGACGCTCAGCCCCGAATGTCCCTTGAGGTTGCCCAGCCTGCTCGCACAGCGTGCTCCCGAGAACCAAGCCCCGATTGTGCTGACCGCGCGCTTCCATCAAAGGAGGAGCGAGCTTCGGTATAAGACCAGGTCGCGGTGGATGCGATCTCCCTCCTCGTACGCCCCCGAAGCATCCCTCGATACCTCTCCTCCCTACTCCGCCTATCCATCAAACGTATTCCAATGTCGAGCAGCAGCGAAAAGATCGCAATGGAAGGCGACGACCACAACACCCGCTACGTCCACGCCGACGGCGCCTCGGACGTGCCCCTCAACCGCCAGATCTCGGTCATGCTCACCCAGCAGCAGTGAGTTCATCCCCGCCGTCGCTCGTCGATCCGCCGCCACAGCACTGACGCGTCCGTACCCGACCCTGCTTCGTCCCCGACAGGTTCGAGCAGCTCTACCTCCAGCCCCAGATCAAATCGTCGGCCCAGGCCCAGAACATCAAGACCTTTGGCAACCCTACCATCATCGGAATCATCTCGTTCCTCCTGTCGTTCAGCCCCACGACGGTCTGCCTGATGGGCTGGCACGGAACCACCTCCGCCTCGACGCTCGCCTTGATGCCAGCCTACTACCTCCTCTCCGGCATCGGTCTTGCTCTGGCAGGTGAGTTGCCATTGCTTCGTGGACTTTCGACTCGAAAATCACTGAACGCGTCGTCGGTCGCATCTTCTTCCCAATACAGGCGTCCTGGAATGGTTCCTCGGCAACACCCTCCCCTCGGTCATCTTCAGTGAGTTGCTCACGACCTCTATCCCTTGTACAGACTCTGTGACTGGCGAGCTGATAGTTCTGACTGAACGTCCTCCGACAACCCCACACTTGCAGTCTCGTGAGTCACATTTGCCGGCCGAGCAAAGTAGTAACACGCCATGCGGTGCTGGCGCGCCCGCATATTTTTCCTCCTTCGACCCGCTTTCGCTCATCGACTCCATCTCTTCCACGCCTTCGACGACACCTTCTTGTTCTACTGTCCTCGACACCGGTGACAGGTTCTCCGGATTCTGGCTAAGCTATGCTATGGTGAACGACCCGAATTACGGCGTAGGTGCGGCCATCACTCAAGACGCGACGGTGTACGGTGGCGGCCTTGGGTTCTACCTTCTCTTCTGGGCCCTCTACTGCTTCATTGGCACGGCGGCCGCTCTGCGCACAAACGTGACCTTTGTCTGGATTCTCTTCTTCGTCGCCTGCACGTTTACCTTCCTCTCGGCCAGCTATCTGTCAGCTGCCAAGGGTTTGGCGACCGCCGCCGCCAACCTCCAGACTGCCGGAGGTGCTGTGGGCTTTGTCGCCTGCGTTGGTGGATGGTGGATGCTCCTGCACCTTGCCCTTGCCGCGGGCGACATGCCTTTCAACGTGCCTCTCGGTGATCTTTCCACCTACTGGAAGAAGCGGGAGTAGTCAGAGCGTTGTCGCAGAACTGTCGATGGCGCGATGTCTTTCCAAAGGTCTCTTTCCCCATTCCAATTCATTGCTTTGAGCTTTTTGGAGCTTGTCGAGCAACGCTTGTTGGACAATTCGAATGGTCGGAGCGAAAGGAAGCTGATGATGTCGTGCAAGCATGGAGAAATCATCGCGCTCGTGCAGACTTGCAGTGAGGCTGCTGCGACGATCCAAACTCTTCGACGATGGCGACCAGGTTGCTAATGGAGATCCATGATAGGGTTGGACGGCTGCCTTAAGGTTCCTCACTTGGATTGCTGCCGACAAGTACAGAGAACTGAGGAAGGCTTGCTCTGTCGATGCCATTCTGTGCGCAATGGAATAACTGTAGATTACACGAGACTGTGGGAGCACCGAGTTGGAATGGGCATATTAAGAAGCAGGGGGGACGAGACTAGAGTACAACAAGAGAGGACCGGCGACAATAGACCAAGCGAGGCTGGCGGCAGGAGGCGATTGAGCACTGTGGGGAGGGCAAGTTATCGGACGGCAAGTGAAGATCAAGCAAAGCCGGTGGTCGTAGCGGAGGCGGCGGCGGCATTGGTTGCAGGTGCGCTGGGAATGGAGTCAGAATCCGTGCTGGCACCGGTGGACGGCTGGGAGAAGTGCGAGGGCGAAGGTCCGTAGTCGAACTCGTAGAAGTGGCGGGGCAGCACCGTGCTCGATGGCGTGTGCATGGCCGACGGATTGAGCGGAAAAGTGTCGGGGTACCCCTCGATGCCCTGGGACGAAAGGCCGGCAAAGGATGCGATCGTCGAAGTCGCAGCGGCAGCCGTGGTGGCGGCGAGGTCGTTGAGGAATGGCGGAGGATGTTGGCCGCTTGCCGATGCGGCCGACGAAGCCGTGGATGGGTGCGGTCCAATCGAGGACGAGAGGTACGAGTCTGGCGACTGGAACGTCCCGCTGCTTGACCGGAAGGTTGGGGGTGCGGCGACATCGACAGACTGGTCCGTCGACGACGGTGGGTCGGACGGGTATGGTGTGCCGAGGGCGGCGAGGCAGTCCTGCCACATCTGCGTGTTGGGTGAGAGCGCAGCGATGTCGCTGCTCGACAGCCCGCTTGTCGTAGCGGCCATCATTGCCGCTTCAAAGCCCTGCTGTTGTGCCTGTCCGACCAGCCCTTGCACGGGCGCGTAAGCAGCCACCGGCGGTTGCAGGTTCGCCTGCGATGGCGGGCCGCCCACAGAGCGTCCGGGCGAGCAAAAGTCAGACATCGTCTTGATCTCCTGATAGGCCAGCTCCGCGAGGTGCGACCGGTTACTAAGCTGATCGAGCGCCCAGAGGTACTTTTCGACGCGGTGCTGCGAGCACTCGAGCTCCTGCCACTGAAAGTTGGCCGCGAGCCCATTAAAGAGGCGTATCTCGCTCTTGGCCATGGAAAAGAACGAGTTGACCATGATCTCGGCCCACGGCTCGGTGTGCAGGATGGTGCCGCCCGTGGTGTGGACAAAGGAAAAGGCGTCGGTGCTGCTCGTGGTGGATTGCTGCCGCTGCTGCTCGTGTGCCTGGACAGCGTGGATCAGCGCCGCCGTCTGGTTGCACGCCTTGCGACGCAACGTGCTGAACGTCTCTCCCTGCTCGCGCAGGCGACGGGCCTGCGGATCGCTGAGGCAGGCCTGGTCGACGGTTTGGGCGAGCTCGACGAGAAGCAGGACCGCCAGGTTCCAGGGCGCCGTAATGAGCGTGTACCACGACTGTATCGATGGAGGCAAAGCGCCGTGGGCCGATATGCACGACTCGATAAAGGGCTGCCGGACGGGCGTAGCGTTGCAGGACGGCAATTCGCGTCAGCTGAGAGCGGCATGACAGCAGCCGTGCGACGCCTGGGGCTCACCTGGTACACTCGCTCCCAGTGGAAGACAACGTCGAGAGCCTGCTGGATGTGACGCTCGATGGTGTCGGGCTCGGCCGTGCGCCAGTACGCGGCCTGCAGCCGGCCGATGTGACGAAAGAGGAGCACCTTGACGGGAGCCGAGAAGCCGAGGATGCGCAGCGCCTGTTCCTCGGTACAGTTGGGCCATTGTCGGGCAAAGTCGGCCTCGCGCTGCTCGCTGCACGAGAGGATCAGGTCGTCCCAGATCTTCCGCGTCTGCCGGCGTTGCCCGGGCGGTCCGGGCAACTGCTGCTGCTGTGGCGCGCCGACACCGCCGACCTCGGCAATGAGCGGATACTGAACGAGGTCGGTGTCGTCGTCGCAGATGACGGGAGGGTGCTTGCGCAGGACGGCAACCTCCGAGTCGATCATGACACCGAGCCACCACGTCTGCTGCCACGTGCTGTTGAAGAGCTGGATCTCGATGTTGCGGCGGTGCAGCTGCTCGGCGTCCAGAGGCGCTGAGCGGTTCGGCTGCGTCGCCGACCAGGGATCGACGCCACGGCGACGAAGATTCATGATGCGGTTGCGGAACTGGAGTAGCTTGCGCCCGGCCGTGGCGAGCATCATCGTGCTGGCCTCGGCGGGGTCCTGCCAGCTCGACGTCTCAACGGCGCTGTTCTCGTACAGGGCCGTCTGGACGGCCGCTGTACTCTCCACCTGCCAGTGGGCATGTGTTGGGACGTCCCGTGGCTTCTCGGTCCACGCAAAGAGGATCAGGGCGTAGACGACGCGGAACGAGGGTGCTTCCTCGGCCGCGATCATGAGGCGATCTCGGGCGTTGCGCCACAGCTCAAGGCGGATGCGCTCCTCGTCGGGCAGCCAATTGTCTGTGTGGTCGCCGATCCTCTTTCGATGCCGGGGCCATTGCGCGGCGAACGCCAACATGGTGGCGTGCAACGCCTCGTGGATGATCTTTTCCGAGGCGGCGAGTCGATGCTGCGGACCTCGAAAGAGGTTGCGTGCGCCTCGATCGAGGAGGCAGACGCGAGTGTGCAACGTCTGGTCGTTGAACGGGTTGCGATTCTGGTGAGCCTGGTCGAGGAAGAGGTAGGGCGTATCGCGGATCCAGCAGCGCAGCGCCTGCTCTGCGGCGCCCTCGTAGATGCTGACGAGGTCCTTGTCGAGGTAGATGCGGTCGAGATTGGTCGCGAGCCGAGTGCCTGCGGCCTGGAAGGCCAAGGGCGACGAGTCCGGTGGCACCACGGTCACGTTTACGCCACCTTGCCGGACAAGGACTGCAGCGTCCCGGGCGCCGATGACTTCGTCGACGCCGTCCGAATTGTCCGAACCTGAATCATCGCCCCTGCGCCGCTTGTCTGGGCGGGTGTCGGAGGACGACGTTGGCGGGCCTGACGCTTCGATGGCCCTGATGGAGGAAAGGTCGAGGTCTGCGACGCCAAAGGTCGAGATGAGGTGGTTGAAGGTGCACGTCTTTCCCTTTCGGCGGCAGTTTGAGCACGCCACGCCCGTCTGGAGGGCGTGGGTGAGGGATGTGTACTTTGCGTCGCAGGCACGCTTGGCAGCGCGGCAGTGGTCGCAGTTCTTGAACATCTTCTTCTTGGTGGGCGCGGGCTCGGGCTCGGGTTCGAGTTCGGGCTCGGTATCACGTAGACCCGGCCGATGCGCCGACGGGAGCGGTGCGGGAGCTGGGAGCATCATGTCGGCAGGTCAATGGTGCGCCAGCGGCGGCGAACGCAGTCGTTGAAGCGGTGCAATACTACTGTCGATCAATGGGGGTCAGAATGCAGAGCAGGCCGGGCTGACGGAGAGGAGAGCCCGAGAATGGAGGATCGAGAAGCTTCCTGGTCGGGGATGGAGCAGGCGACGGCTGTGTCCGACGCCAAGCGGAGGGCCAGAGAGCGATATGGGCAACCCGAACGAGCGGAGGCCATGGACGATGGTGCTGGCCAAGTATCGCAGAGGTCGTCGAGGGAGCGGAAGACGGGCAAAGGTGCGGAGGTCGAGACGGGCAAGTTCGGATCAAGGTGCCGGCGAGGGTGAGGTTAGGCAAAGAGGGCCGACGGGGGCCGAGTGAACGTAGTGCGTAGCGGCAGGCCCGGCCTGGACGTTCGGGGCGGGCCGACGGGCGAACAGGGCGGAGAAGCGCAGCAGGTCGTGTGGGGGGGCCCAACTGGCGTGGTCTGGAGGAGGGAAGGGGCCGATGGTGATGGGGAGGAGGAGGAGAGGAGGATGAGAGGTGCGAAAGAGAAAGCTGCGCTGCGCTACGCTGCACGGCCTGCCTCCGGCGTTCCATGGCGGTCCTCTCTCTCGCCGCCTGGGCGACGTGGTACGCATCAGCCGAGCCATGGACAGATCAAGCCCAACGGAGCATCCCGACTTTCTCATGCCGCCACCACTGCCAAGCGAGAGGGCCTTTCGCAGCCGGCAGAACCACCCTTGCAACTCCAGCTTGTGGCCTTGGCCCACGCCCGCTGCCCCACATTTCGGTCTCTTCGCTCCGCTCGCTTCGAGCCGGGTGTCTGTTGCGGCGGCTTCAGTCTGCCTCTGCCCGGCCTCAAGCAGACAAGCGCTCGTCCGAACATACCACGTGATTCAACTGCCGGGCAAGCTCGAAAGCACAACGACAAACATGCATCGAGGGAAGCAAAGCAGACTGACAGATTGGCATCGCTTTTGTGTGTGGAGGGGGGGGCTCACAATGTTGGGACACTACAAAACAGGAGGATGCGAGAAAGAAGGAGACACGGCCGAGGAGCGATGGCAGATGCTCGCCATCTAGGTGGTACGCCTCGACGCCGTCGGGGTCCAGCCGGTGAGCCGGACGAACAGATTCTGCTCGCCGCGGCTCAGCACATTGATGTCGATCCGGGGGTCGACATCAGGGTGCCACGACACCGATAGGGTCTCGATGCGGGCAAGGTCGGCGCTGTCGAGGGCCAACGCCGAAAAAGGGCCCTCGGGATGGATGCTGCGCATCCATGCAAGGCCGAAAAGCTTGTTCAGCTCCAGTGCCGCCCGAAGGCAGCGGTTTGAACCCCGCCACAGGTTCCACGTCCACGATTCCACCGACACGTTGTCGGCAGGCCTGTGGTAATCGGACGCGAGCTGTCGAGGTGCCGGCGTGCGGTATCCATGTGCCATGGGGATGCCGTGGACCGAATGGCCGATCGAGCCGGCGAGCGGGTGGCCCGCGTCCCCGAACACCAGAGGGAGCCCGGTGCCGGGGCAGCGCAGGCCGTCGAAACCGGGCCTCGCCGCCTGGCGCAGCCACTCTCGGCAAAGGACGAGAACCATAGTCGCAATCGAGTTGTGGCCTGAGCCGTACTCTCGAAGAGCCTCCCACTTTTCTCCCGGTGTGACGGGGATCGCCGGCGGAGAGGTCGGCAGCGGGCGCTGCTGATCGCAGCTTTCGATGCTCCGATCGAGCAGCGCCGCGGCGAGCGAGACGAAGGCGGTCTCGCTCGAGGCCTCAAGCGGGTTGGGGAACCCCGACGAGGTCCTCGGCAGCGTGCCGCCGAACTCGCTCTCCAGCTGTGCGGCGACCTTGATCACCGCACGCCGCTCGTCCTGCGAGGGAGGGATGCAGAGGATAGAGCGTCCTCAGACGAGCTCTCTCTTCGCCTCCCTCCCGAGTCAGTGCCGACGACTTACCGAAGTCAGCTGCCCGACTGCCGCAGCCGCCGACGTCAGCTCTGGAGCACCGGAGATGGGCTCGCCGACCTCGTCGTGTCCCTCGCCGACCTCGTCGTGTCCCTCGCCGACCTCGTCTTGTCCCTCACCGACCTCGCCTTGTCCCTCGGCGGCCTCGTTGGCGAGCTCGGGACCTGGAGGTAGCTGCTCGGCTGTCAGGACGGCGATTCTACCCGTGGACCGGGGAAGAGCCGAGGGTCGGGCGCGTTCGGTACGTCGACGGATCTCGTCCGGCGCCGGCCTCGCAGCGCCAAACTCGACTCGACGCGAGAAGAACGACGTCTCGCCGTCCGCGTGGTGCTCTCGGAGTATGCGCGCAATCTCGGCGAGCATGCCATCGGCTTTCTCGTCGCCGACGATCTGCCGCACCGTCTGGTGGACAAAGATGGCGATCTCGCCGAGCTCGGCGACGAGCGGCGTTCGCGAGAACTTGGAGAGGTTGTGATGCTGGGTCGTGATCTTGATGTTGTCGACGCCGTGCTGGTAAAGGGCGCCTGCCTCGTTCACGGCGAACCGGACCTCCTTGTCGACGGAAGGCTTGCGCAACTGCAGGGCGCAGAGGAGGTTTAGATAACGAACGTAGCCATCGTCGAGGAGCGAGCGCAGGTCGAAGGGGTCGTCGTCGCTCGGTCGGGGCTTGACAATGTCGTCGGCGACTGCGTAGAGCGGGTGGGGCGGGGGCCCTGCACCGAGCAGGTAAGCCACGAGCGCCGCGGCCGTCTTTTCATCGCCGACCAGGGGCAGCGGTACGTGCATGTCGGTGGCGAGGTCGACGTCGAAAAGCTGATCGACTTTCACTGGTGGAAGGAATGTCGCCGGATGCCGAACCTCCGTGAAGGCCACCGACGTGATGTGCGACCAGCCACCGAGCATAAAGCTCTGGACGGCCAGCCACGCGGCGTGGAATCGACAGGCGAATGGGCTCCCCATCGAGGTCGCCTTCAGCCCTTCGTACTTGCCATGATGAAGGTCGGGCCGCTCGAACAGCGCTCTCAGCGCTGGGAACGCCGCGCCGACGCGCCAGCAGTAGAAGAGGTCGGTGTCGGCGGTTGCAAAGCCAGGCGCCGGGCACTGGTGCGCGCGGATGCGGCTCTGCACCGCTTTGTATGTGGGGATACCGGTTTGCTCGCCGGCGAGGAACTTGTCGGCGAGCTCGAGGACGCTCGGCTGATACCGAGCTGAGACCCGGCGCCAGATCGCTTGCGAATCCGGGTTATCGTCGTTGTCGACCTGAGCCGTCAGCTCGTCGAAGAGTCGGCGGCCGATGTCGTTCTCGGTGCCCTCGTCGACCTGGCGGAATGAGAGCTCTCTGTCGGCGTATGTGACCTTTGTGTAGTAGTACACGCGGCCCTGCGAGACCTGGCGATTGGTCTTGATGAGAGGACGCGTCTTCTCAACGTGATCCGGCGCCTTCTCCCGCTCTCGCCGGAACTCCTCGATGATTGCGGCTCCTTCTGCTGCTGTCGCGCCTCGATCCTGCTCGAGGATGAGCCTGACCACATAGTGGGCCAGTACTGCGAATCCGGGCTCGCCGCGAATGCGTGCTTTCTCTGCTGCCGAGAGAGTCGTGCCGCCGATAACAAGCGGACATCCGAGAATGGCCTCGAGCTCGTCGACCGACTGGGTCACAGCCAGATTCGGAAAGCGTCGATCCGCGCTGACCGACATGATCGTCTTGTCACGCTGGACGAGCATGATGTTGACTCCGGCCGGGTTGCGAAGATTGAGGTGCGACCTCCTCGGCAAAGGGCTGCCGGTCGGCCGCTCGAGACGAGGCAACTGCCTCGGAGGCTGCTTTGCTGGAGCCGAAGAGGGGCCGGCGACGGCGTTGGGGCCCGATGCGGGCGAGGCTCCCATATCCGCATCGTCCATCCACTTAGGCAAAGGGATCACGATTGCCGCAACCGCTCGGGCTTTGTCGGCAAGATCCAGAGGCTTCTGAGCCGCCTCTGCGGCGCGCAGCGCCTTCTTTGCCTCCGTTTTTGGGCGCGAAGTGCCTGCCTGATGCCGACGCGGCACCTTTTTGGCAGCCTTGGTCGTGGTTGGCGCCCCCGCCCCCTTCGCGGCGGGCTTGGTCGTGAC